TGACTTGTGACTTGATAGGATTAACACGGAGCCCATACGTCGTACTCCAGGAATAAATTTTGTGTAGGTCACTGTTTAACCGTTCAATAGTATTATTGAGTTCACTGGAGGGACCCGCAGCGTAAACCTGTAAGTCGTCAGCATAAAGATGATAGGGACATGAAAGAAGTGTGGAAATTGTATTAATAAATATAGAAAACAGAAGAGGTGAGAGGACACCACCTTGTGGAACCCCAGCTGAGAGAGAAAAGTAGGTGGAGGATTTATTATCAATATGTACACACTGCTGACGACCGTACAGGTAACTGCTAAACCACCTGATGGCGTCGCTTGACACATTAATGGATTCAAGCACAGCTAACAGGAGTTTAAAGTCAACTGTGTTGAAAGCATTACTGAAGTCAAGCAGGGCTACAACGCTGATTAGTTTCTCGCTCATATTAAATCGTATATCGTCGGATACTTTGAGTAAGGCTGTCACAGTGCTATGACCTTTTCGAAAACCAGATTGGTACGGAGAAAGTATGTTGTGCTGGTCTAAATAGCCACTGAGTTGGTTAAACACAATTCGTTCTAAAGCTTTCGACAAAAATGGGAGAATGGAAATTGGACGGTAGTGGGAGAAGCAAGAGGGATTTTTCGTCTTAGGAATAGGGATAATGCGAGCAGTTTGCCAGGTAGAGGGAAATTCATTGGAGGAAAGAGAGAAGTTAAAATATGGGTAAGTACAGGAGTAATGGTATCAAGAAGTAAGAGGATCATTTTGCGATTTATACCATCACTGCCAGTAGCATCAGATTTAATTGCTAGGATGTGTTTCTTAACCTCGAAAGTGCTAACAGGGGTAAAATTGAACATGGGATGATTAGGACGTGGTGTTGAATGGAGTTGGCCCAGTGTGCGAAGTCTTACATTATTATCCATAGGAGTGACAGAGGCAAAAAATCTGTTCAGAGCATCGAGATCAAGTGTATTGTAAGAGACGCTTCTAGATCTGCGACCAATACCAAAAGATTCTAAGAGCTTCCAGGTTTTGGCAGGATTACCATTATCTATTGCAGTATGGATGTAATTCCGTTGAGCGTCTCTACATACTTTATTGCATCGGTTGCGGAGTCGTTTATACTTCAGCAGATTCTCTTCTGTAGGTTTTAATTTATATTTAGATTTAGCTGCGTTACGTTTAGCCATTAAAATTTTAATGTCTTGTGTAAGCCATGGTGCAGGAAGATGCTTTAATTTAATAGGGCGGAAAGGAGCATGTTTGTCAAAGAGGTTAGTCAAAATTGAGTTAAAAATTTCCAATTTGTCATTAATATTTCCAGCGTCAAAAATCGATTGCCAATCAATATCATTCAGATCATTCAAAAATTTATTGTTGTCAAAATTTTTAAAGCTACGCCGCATCACGACCGTAGGTTTTAATTTAGGAGGACGGATTTTATAAGATAAATATACTAGGTCATGGTATGAGAAGGAGTCAGCTGGAAATTGTCCATGGGATATAACAAAATCAGGAGAGGAGACGAACATGAGATCTAGAAGGGACGGGGTACAATTAGGAAAAAAGTGAGTAGGTTTTGTATTCAACAACTGAAGATTGGCACTGTTGACGATGTTTAGGAGACGTTTAGCTCGAGAATCATTTTTGATTACACATGTATTAAAATCACCCATAATTATGGTGTGGTCAACTGAAGGTAAAAATTGTTCTAAAAGATTTTCAAAGATTGCAAAATAATCGATTAATAAGGATGGGCTGTAAAAAACACCCAGCAACAATTTCACAGAACCAAATAATACCTCAATTAAAATATGCTCAGCAGTTTCAGAGTATTGAGAATCGGACTTATGAAGTATAGTGAAAGGTATATGATTCCGAATGTAAATAGCAACTCCCCCACCACCCTTGCCAGTGCGATCATTACGAACTAAGTGGAAATCAGGTAAGGCAAAGGAGATTGAGGGTAAACACGGTTTGAGAAATGTTTCAGATATAAGGATTGCGTGTATATTTTTATTAGTGAAAGAGGCTACAAGGTCAGGATAATGGGAAGGAATGCTTTGAGCATTAATATGCACAACGTTAAAATTCTTAGGAAGGGGAGAGAAAGTGGAATCAAGAAGGGAAGAGAGTGGAATCGAAGAACTATGGTAACTGTCGTTTGATGATGATGCTGAGTGGAAGCTAATGTCGTCATCTGAACTATCATTTAAATACATTATATTTAAATAATTAGATAAACAATTAATATATAAATCAGATAAAATAAGAATAATATATAAATAAATAAAATAATATTAATAATAATATAGAATAATATATAGTAATAGATAAAAAAAAATAAAAAAAATAAATATGGTATATAAAACAAAATAAAGAGTTAAAAAAAAAAGATATATAAGAGTCCTTAATCCTTTCACCCACCAGCAGAAGTAAGAAGAAATTAACAATACAGACTAAAGGTAATAAGAATCAAAGTAAAATCTACACTTAATAAAATTAAAAACAAAAAATAAGAATTAAGCACAAATCAGTTAAAGCAAGAAAAAAAAAACAACAATCAAAAATAGTAATAAAGATTATAAAGCAAAAGAGATAATCCAATTACACAGATACAAAAACAACATGAAGAGTAAGCATTGACATAATATGACAGATGACAATTTGACAGCTAAAAAGAAAAGTTGATAAAAGATAGGTACAAACTACGAAGTTATAAAAGTAAACAAATTACGAGCGTGAATCTACCGACTAAAATACATATTATAAAAGACTTAAATATCCATTTATATACTTTAAAACTACGTAAATAAATATAGAAATAAGGCCTTAAGGTAATAGTGAATGATCATAAATTAGTCATGCAAAGTTAAAGTAAATATTCAAAGTGAATTGCATTACTTTTTGATAGCTCGTTTTGTCCTAATGTTGGAGACTTTGCCTGTGTTGCTGGGGCCAGAAGAAACGGGAGGAGCGCTGGAGGTCGACAATGGCGCGTCATGGGGCAAAGGCGAGATGGCGTTAAGTTCACCCACCGTGAGAATGCGGCTTTGCGAACCGTCAGCCCCCACAACCACCACGTATCCATCTTTTGTCCAGCACTTTGAGACTCCCAAACGTTGTCGGGCTGCCACGAATGTGCTATGCCGTTCCTTGGTGAGAAACTCTGACAGGGTTATCCCAGAATTCTTGAGGCCTGACTTGGAATACCAAATTTTGTTCCGAAGAGAAAAATCTTTGAACTTAACAAGGACGGCTCTAGGTTTATCAGATCTAGAATGCCCTAAGCGGTGACAATGACTAATGTCATCCTCTTTGAGAGGGATATCTAAATTCTCAGAAATTATTTTGGTAACAACTTGGGACATTTTTTCATTCTTACTTTCTTGAACACCATGGATTAGTAGAATTTTCTTCCGGGATCTCATTTCAAATTCATCTTGTTTTCTAGATAGAACATCAAGCTGCTTCTGGAGGCCCTCTAATGCAGTCAAAACGAAACTTCTAAAAGTGCTAAATTGGGTAGCAATAGTAGAAGCTGGGCTTGTTGCTGATGCCGAAGAAGTTTGAAGTTGTTTTTGAAACTCTGCCATTTTTGAGTTGAAGTGTTCACTAAGCTCAGCAATTGTGTGCTTCATGGACTCCATTTTGTTTTTATTTTTTATTTTAACTATACACTGAAGTTGTGTTAATGTTTTATTTATAATTTCTGCTTATACGTGCACAAGTGTCTGAATATTATAGAGGAATATAAAGCTGGTAGGTTTAAGGTTTATTTACTAACACATATCACTATATATCTCTTATATTTGATTTTTAAAAACTATAAAATATAGAGCACTCAAAAACATGTGTTAATAGTTAGCACCTACCCACCAAAAAAAAAAAAAAAAAGTTAGTATTAAAATATTTATATCAATTATGAGAAATCTATAAAAAAAACAACTAAACTTTGATGAATCTACGGCCTAAATGACAAGAAAAGCACAGTGCCATTGCACCTGACGGTGCACTGTACATCACAACCAATATAAGAATTAATAAAAATGATCAAGCCAAAAGCCAGTTTTAAAATACGATAAAATTGCAAAAAAATGGCGGCTGGCATCCAGACCCCAAATAGACCTTAAATGTCAACTGTGGGGGCTCACGAGTGATGCTATATTTAGTGGTATGTCCATTCCAAGCTATCGATTCGCCCGCGAGAGCAATGACCTCGCCGGCCGTTTCGCTAATTTATTAATTATTTAACACTAACCGACTCTGCCATGTCAGAGTTGCCGGCATGTTGTACTGAGATATAGTAGCTTAATGGTAGCATACGAATGTTACAAACATAATTTGCTTTAACACATCTTAAGCCATTTAAGTAATGGATTTTTAGTTATCTCGTTTTATTGCTACACTCGCTTCACTCGGGTTCGTCCCTGGGTACGTTTAATTTTTTTGAGCGAAATCCTATTGTTGTCATCCTAATTCGTTTTCTAAAATAAAGGTAGTCCGAGTTACTCCTTCTAACAACTATCTGCCCGTGAAAGTCCCGTCAAAATCGGTCCAGCCGGAACAAATAGACAGACAAAAATAAAAAAAATGCGTTTTTCTTATATGTACCGTATATACTTTCATAATATGCATTTAGTAAAAAGTTGTTATTTTACATTTATCCGTATAGATTTGGGGTATATAAGGAATATTACTTTAAAATTACAACTTCCTGCTACTTGTGTTTTAAACCATAGACTAAGGTTGCTAAGTTAATTTTTAAATCTTTTAAATATATGACCAAGAATTTTTTTTTAATCCCATTTTTCACATATTATACGTATGTAAAACAATGGGATTTTCGTCCGTACAGTTACAAATAATAATACAATTCTATAATTAAATTTACCAAAGCAATTAACGTTTTAAATATAGTAAATGCATTTAGTGAGATTCAATTAAAAAATAAATATATCTTTTGTTACAGGACAACATTACTCCGGAACCGGCGGACATGAACGATGATGACAATTTTTCAAGTAATTATTAATTCTATTATATTTCTTTCATTATGACAGTCATATATAAATTAACAAGGCGTAAGTACAAAGTAGTTAGTACACCTCTGTTAATTTAAAACAATTTGTTCAAAATATTATAAACGTATGATATCTCATTATCTTAAAATCCAGCCACTTGCATCAAATCAATAATATTATTATTGAGGTACTCCCAGAAAATCTCTAACTACCCTCAAATTGGCTTTAATTTAAACATTTTTTCCAAATTTTGAAATTTATTGGCAAATGTGATCTGGTGCAGGTCATGGCTACGCGAAAGATGCTGAGAAGTTGAAAATGATGTTGCTAGCATGGAATTATCACCAGACGCCAGGTAAATCGCTTGTTTGAATTACATATAATGATTTACTAAAATTCAATGATGAACTGGAATTAATGAGACGAGTTTGACTCAAAATATGTATGGACCATACAATTTTTGTCCTCGAAAACGGGGTAAGCAATGTGCTAAAATTGGCTGAAAACAAAGTATTACATATTATTATATATAGTTAAGGGATAACTATTTATTTAAATTTGCTTCTACATATTCTAGGCTCCATGTGCAAACCACCTTCGTAATATTATCATAGACAAGCAGTTATATAGAATAGTTGATTGAAATTGAATATGTAAACGTTTTAAAGATATCACTTGTCAAACTGTTTTATCGTTGCATAATTTCATGGCAGATCGTTCTCTATTTTTGTCTTGGATATACCGGAGACCGTAGGTGCCTCAAATTATTTATAGCTTCGTACGGGTTGACATTTAGCGGGCAGATGCACCGGTCCCCTGTGCCTTAGCACTATCATTAATTCCTTACTGACTGACTATGCATACGTAATATTTTACATGAAAATTACAACTTTTTTGCTACTCCTAACGGTAGATATAACGTTTCTAGAATATATTTAAGAATGCAACAAACTCATTTATCTCTGACAAATTATTATTATAGGTTATATTCCCAGTTGAAGTAAATGACTACAAATGATTAGGATATAGGTACATATGTATGTATGTATGTTTTAACATGAGGGTGTGTAGTGAAGCGAGTCATCTTAATATACTCCTATGTAAGTGTATACTAGAACATAGAGCAAGGTCAATATCTAGTTCCTACTATTGAGATATATCAGTTTACCAATACTAGTCTAATCAATAAGAAAAAATAATTCGGTATATGTATATCTTTTCGTTACAACATAATCTATGTTAAAAGTTTACTTTAAGTATTTAGTACAAATGTAGTGTAAGTCCTAATTGCACGTATTCATACAGCATCTTGATATTACATGGTAGAAAAGGAAAAGAGAACTCCGATTTCAACTTTCTCTTTAAAACTTTTACGCGAATTTTCAAGCACCACTACGTGTGTAATTTTTTATAAAATATATAGATTCTTTAAATGGATACTTTATACGATATTAGTCATGCTAAAATTAGTACTTAGCTTCACTTGGCCTTTTAGTTGTTATAAAAAAATATGTTTCTTTTTGTAAAAAAACTGCATTTTTCAACAATAAACCTATATATAGATAACTTTATATAGTATTTTTTAGTTAATAAGTTATACTAATTCTTTTCATATAAGTATATGTATTATGTAGATAGTTTATCAGCCGGAGAGTTAGCTTGCAAAAGTCACTAACGATTTGAACTAAGAAAAGACGTGTCACAAGCCTATATTTATATGTCTATACTAATATTATGAAGAGGTAAAGTTTGTGTATTGTAAGTTTGTGATGTTGTAGGGGGCAATCTCTGGATCTACTGACTCGATTTAGATGAAATTTGGTAAAAAGATAGTTTGAGATCCTGGAAAGGACATAGAATACTTTTTATCCCGGAAATCATCCCTTAAGGTAAAAATGGGGTTGAAAGTTTGTATTGGGAATCAATATATCAATGTATGTATAAAGCTGAAGAGTTTGTTTTCTTGTTTGTTTGCATGCAATAATCTCTGGAACTACGATTTGGAAAATTTATTTTCGTGTTAAAGCTTATTAATTGGCGAAGGTTTAATGCTATCAAACTTCACTTACAATGTTGAATATTGGTATAAAATTTTGTCACGAATTCTGAAACTATTTATCCGATCTTTACGTAATTTTGTGTAAAATATATGATTTGTCCCACCTTAAAAGATGGGATAGTCTTTATCCCGATTATATCCTTTTTTTATTGCAATATTAACGATTTTCATATCCGGACAGAGATTCCGGAGAAACAACCTGAGAACGGCTACCTTAAGCTACTTGAACGAATTGTGTACGACCGGGTCTGCTTGATATGATATATAAAACTAGCGACTCTCGGTCGCTCCGTTCGGGTTCGTCCCTAAGTGATTCTTTAAATTGATGTAACTTTTTTATTTACAAACCGATTGAAAGAAAACAAATAATAAATGTTAAGTGAAACTTACGACAATATATGAAAACCGCATCCAAATCGGTTAAGCCGTTTCTGATATTAACGTGCACAAACGCATAAACAGACAAACCGGCAAAAATTCTAAAAATCATTGTTTTGGGTTCTATTTCGTAAATAAAAACCCCCAATGATAGTTTTTCTCAAATATCTTACATGTACAGACAGCGATCAGTTACACTTTTATTATACATATGTATCTACAGATAAATTAAAATATTTTTTTGGCAATAAAGTTATAATTAAACTACGTAGGCGGGGCCGTGGATAAAGCTACTACGAAATAAATCGATCACTGAACGTACTAATTCCTGCAGCTGTTGGCGTTCCTTTAGTTAATATTAAATGCTAGTCATATTATGCTTGTTATATAGAATGTGAAGGAAAATATATTATTCTCACTTCAATTTTATATTTTAATAAATACCGTCTACATTTGATAGAGAAAGATGCATGTTCATATTTGACTTATAGTGTAAAAACGTCTAGTATTTCATGGTTTAGATGCAATGACTAGTTTAGAGACAAACAAAAGAGTTAAAACATGGCTTTTAGGACACTACGTTGTTGACGGCTATGACGAAATTTTAAGTATAAATAATGTGAGTAATTTAGACTTTTCCTTATAAAAGTATGAGTAAACTGGTCCGACTCGGGAAACAAACCCAGGACCTCCGAATGTGCAGCCGCACATGGTAGCCACGAGACCACCGACGCAGTTAACCTCATTAAATAACATTTGACATTACGTATTTTTATATTTCTCTAAACATCATGTCTTTATTATACAGAATTTAGTACAAAGTATGAACTAAAAAGTATTAAATTTACTTTCATCTTTAATTACCATTTAAATAGATCTATATTTTATTCATAAACGGCAATTGGAACTGGCTAATTTTTATGAAGTTTAAATAAAAGAAAGAGCTGTAGCTTATTGTATTAACTACTTCGTTAAGAGTGCAAACTAGTTTTGATCGCGGCTGTACTCGCGTGCAATTTCTTTAATACTTTCTTAGATTTACGCGAATATTTGACATTTTAAATAAAACTATATTTTCGAATTATTTTGCGGATTTATTTTGATTTTTGTTTTTCGATCATGGTCACAGGAGAGACTAAGGTTTTAGACGTCTCAAAGGCGTTGTATTCTTGTTACAGCTATAACTTTCACCTATCTTATGGTAATCCTTGTTATTTAGCTTTTACCTAAAGCGGTTGAAATCGTTTCACTCGTTCTGATATTAGTGTATGATTAACGACAAGATAAACTATAAATATTTTGATGGTTTTTTGGCTTGGGTATCGCGTAAATATGATCTTAATATGGGATAGCTGTTTCAAAATTACATACAAATTTCAGTTTTATTTATAAGTAGATATTAAATAATAATTTCATTTGAAAATATTACAATTCGTTTTTAAAGAAAAAAATTGAAACTTAATTTATTTTCAGGCCGTAATGGTGATTTGTCAGAGAGTGGGGCGGACAGCATGGCGGATCTGTGGGCTTCGTACCATAGTGCACTAGGCTTGGGCAGTAAGCCCCCGAAGCCGCCCACGCCTCTCGCTACCGGACACTCGGTGAGTTTTAAGGTTGCGCAGCGTTTCATTTATTTTTAACTTAATTAACTCTTAATGTAAACTTTTTTAACTATAACATTCTTAAATATGACCTGTACCCTTTGTATTGGAGTTAAGCCCGTGCCCAGCAGTGGGACGTTAGAAAGGGTTGAATACAACACTTAAATAATATGGGATGCAAAAAATCCAAAAGCTGTTAGAAAATTACATGAATTAGATCGACATCAGTTTGGCACTGTGCTATGAATAAAGTTACAATTTCAATATCTCCATAAGCCGAATGGTCAAAGAAAATAAAAGGCCATAGGAACAGATTTCAGAACTTTAAAAAAACAGATTAAATTATCTTGAAGAAATAATATGCAGCGATAATAATAGAATAAAGAAAGCAAATGTTAAAACTTCTTATCAATAACTAACAAAAGAGTGTAATATCCACAGAGTCCTATTCATATTGGATCGACACCAGTGGAACCAGCCTCCACGCATGATGAGACTTCATCATCAGATCGGACAAAAGATGATGATGATGGCGGCGCGTCAGATGACGATAGCGATGATAGAGTCGACCCGCAGCATCACGATCCTGAACGACTGAAGGCGTTTAATGTGAGTTAACATAAATAGGCCTAAGGATGTAATAAATTCTAATCGCATCCGTTTTTTTTCCACGAATCATAAGAGCGCAAGCTTCACGGATAAAACTCATCCAAAAAACGACACTTATTATTTTTTCATTTTGAACTCTTACCTGATCATTAAAATCTATGCTCCAAACATCCATTACTATCAAACTCAAATGATGTGCGAATAAATTAACAGAGAAAAAAAATGTAATAACTGCTTCAACACAAATGTAAAATGTATCAATATTTATTATATTGCAGATGTTCGTCCGACTTTTCGTCGATGAAAATCTCGATAGAATAGTTCCTATTTCAAAGCAGCCGAAAGAAAAGATTCAGGCCATAATTGACTCCTGCACCAGGCAGTTCCCAGAGTTTGCTGAACGAGCTCGGAAGAGAATCAGGACTTATTTGAAGAGTTGTAGGCGGAATAAGAAGGTTCGAGGTGACGGCCCCACTACTGGCAATGGAGGAAATACTCCCTCCGGCAATGCCTGGGATACCGCGGTGAGGGTTCGATCTCAGCTTGACTTATATTATTGTAATTTTCCAACCTCGATGCAATTGGAATGCATGTAGATATGGGCCTATTTTAAATAACAAATTAAAACACATTAAAATATTTGTATTAATAAAATAACTTACTTTAGTAAAAAACTTAGTTCGTTACTTTGCAAATAACCAACATAAATAGCGAACTATTATTTCTTAAACGTTAATATTACTAATAAGAAATCTGAATTCAAAGTACCAATCTAGTTTGTGTCTATAATAACATTATTTTTATATGCAGACACTCAGTCTTACAATTTAGCACCTGACAATGACTTATCTTCACCCCCAGGTGCGGCCCACCCCCGCGCACCTGACGTCAGTGCAAGCAGAACATATCCTGGCGCAGGCGTGCGAGAACGAGAGCCTCAACGCGAAGCGCATGCGTCTCGGACTTGACCCTGTAAGCCAGCCCATGCCCACTGTGCCCACGCCCATGGTCAGTTTAAGACGTCTCATGTTAATAAAGTTTTAACATTTGTAATGTCCCTCTTTACTTAAATATTGTATTGTAAAACTAAGAAAAGCTAACGTTTGTATATGAGCTCCTTTTAACTAACTCCAATTTTCTTTAAATGTACATTTTTATACATGTTCTAATTTGAAAAAAACATCATTTTTTGTACTGACCCATGTTTAGCTATTATATGTAAAATCAACCACTAAATTGACCATACACGAGTCTTTTATAAACCACTATAAAGCACTCTTTCTCTCTCTCACTCTCCAGGCTATAGACACAACAGCAACATCAGCTGCTTCATCATTCTTAAGCCTGTACAGTGGCGCTATGAACAGCCCCGCGTCTACCTCAGTGACCAGCTCAGCGAATACCACCTCCTCAGCAGGCCACAGCAAGCAACCAGCAGACACTACCAGACCCTCGACCAGTCCATCTTTGGAAAATCCACTATTGAATAATAACACTTTGAAACTGGATAACGCTAATGGAAATACTGGAAGCAAGACGGCTAGGTAAGGGGCATCTATAAATACTAGGAATTATATAACATATAAATATTAGGAATAGGTAGGTATAAATGATAAATTAGGAGCAATCTTTCTACCACTTCAGAACTTTGTCCAACATAGTTTTAACTACCCGATAGTATTTAGCTAATTATTTTAACCACTAAATGACCATGTCCATGATGACCAAATAATTAACCATAGTTTTTTTCAATTAACAATTTAACATTTACGCTAAAGGATCCTTAAAGTTTATTTACTCCAAATTGTTTTACTTTTTATTTACGCATTTAGAACCTGAGTATCAAGATATAATTCAGTCTGTAAATTTTATAATTTAAGTAATATGGATATATTATGTTGTTATCAATATAAAGTTCATTTTCATTATAGTCCCGCCTCTTCTCCGGCACCACTGTTCAGGCAAACATTCCCCAACACGTTTGGGAACCCACCAACGTTTGGAAGACAAAGGTAATTACACCAATCGTTTGACTAATTATATTCATTAATAATAGTTTTTAAGTATATATATCCAAAAAAATATGTTGTGTGCCTACAATATATATATAATAATTTATTTATATAAACATTTTTTCTGACAAGGTTGTAGTTGTACCTACATAAAAGCTCTTTTTCTTCTACTTAAAATATTTAGCAGGACAAAATCTAGACGAATCTGATGGCGTTATCGGAAATAAATAAGAAAAAAGGCAAAGAATCATTTTTTTCCAACACCAAAGTACTATTTCTATTTTTTCTCTTACTGATTTCTAATAATATGTGTCATTTGTATCCAGCTCAAACACAAACCCAACATCTGCGCTGTCTAGTACTGCACTTCTGTCAACACTGACTGCTCTTCCTCCCACAGGTAATATTAAAAACCACATATAGATCGGTATAGTTTTTATGAGTATTTATATAGAGTACTAGCAACTTAGCTTCGCTTCGCTTTAGTCTAGGTTCTAGGTCGTCTCCAGGTACGCGGATTTTATTCACAATGTTATGGACCTTTATTTTTTTGCGCGTGGAACCCTGATTCTTTTTTTAAAATAAAAGTGACCTAAGTTACTCCTTATAACATCAGCTATTTGCCTGTGAAAATCCCGTCAAAATCCGTCTAGCCGTTTCGGAAACTAGCCGGAAAACAGATACAGACAGACAGACAAAAAAGTTGTAATAATAGTTTTATTTATTAGTACCGTTTGCACTTTCATATGCATATATTAAAAAGCTGTTATTTTGACATTACAAGCAAACACTTCAATTTTATTTATCTGTGTAGATAATTTAAACCTTTAGATAAAAATGAAATAAAAATAGAACGATACTTGTTAAATAATAATGTCTCTAATTCGTTCATGTGTTTCATTAATGCAAAACTAAAACTTATCAAAAATAATATCTTTATTTCTTTTTAGTAACTACTTTTAAGTATGTAAGTATTTAAGTGATTGATGGCAGTGATAGCCCAGTGGTAAAGCGCTCTCTTGGGAAACCAAGTGAAACGGATTCAAATTTCGGGTTTCGCACCTCTGATATTTTCATGTGTGTATCATTTCCAACATGTTTACTGCTTACACTTGTCTTACGGTGAAGGAAAATATCGTGAGAAAACCTGCATGTATGACAGAAGTTAGCAAGTTTTCGAAAGACATGTAAAGTCCGCCAACCCACACTTGGCCAGCGTAGCAGACTATGACCTGATCCTACTCGTATTGAAGGAAGGCCCGTGCTCAGACGTTAAAAGGGCTGAATACACATATAAGTGATTACTTAATTTCTCTTTATTCTTACTTATTCATAGGAGTAGGAGTGAACGCAGCGATGGCCGCTTACCAGAGCGCTTTGCTGTCGGCTATGGCAGCGCACACGCATACATTCCCCAATCTCACTGGTAATTTTACTATTTATATACGATTTTAGGTTTTATTGTGATTCTTTGTCAAAATGAATAAAATAAATTTTGTTTTCGCTAATATTAGTTTTATCTTAAAATGTTGCAATAGGTTTGTTGTAATTTAAATGAATTTAAATTTCTAGTGTCTATAACTAACACAAATTCAACATTTCCAGCTCCGACGGACCTGTCATTGAAGACATCATCAGCTCCGTTACACGCTACATCCACTTCATCCATCTCAGGGTCGGGATCTAAGCTGTCCCACAAGCTGTCTGGGGCAGAAGTAGGAGCTGTGAGGCAACTGATCACAGGATACCGTGAATCTGCAGCATTTCTGCTACGATCTGCAGACGAGCTAGAGGCTTTGCTCCTCAACCAACCCTAGGACACACCCAAAAGTTTCTCAGACTTATTCGGATTTAAATTCGGATACTTCTGAATGAACCAAGTGTTTGTGTTTTGAATGAATTGTGTTGTTTTTTCAAGTTTGAACACGACAGGAACTGTCTGAGAAAATACGATTATTAACATTTTGGATTGTAGTTCGAATATGTGCAAATTTATAATATAAATTAATTATTAGTAAATTCTGATTTTGATTATATGTTAGTAGAGAAAGTTTTGTGTTGAAAATGGTGTAAAAGTGGAAGGTGTTGCATTATATCGTGTGGTGTAAAGATACGTGGCCAAAATTAGGCCTCATCGTTTGGAAACTTCTTCTCTTCTTTGCTTACTAATTTAATTATCGTAATATTTTGGAAAGATTAAATTGGTAAGTAAATTATTAATGAATATTCACTACTTTGTTTTAAGAACTGTTGTTTATAATGTATTAAAATTGATTCGGACTTTTTAGGTCCACTAACACATTTTTGAGATCCTTAATTTTTTTTTACTTTTTCTTAGATAACTACATCGATGTCTTAGTTTTAGTAAAATAAAAAAAATATTATTTCTTATATTCTATATATTTTAACAGATAATAAAATTAAAAGGGCCGTAATCGAGATTTCGATTTGTACCTTACGTGCCAACATTTAAAAATAATAAGATCTTTGATGAAGATGGATCGGTGTTTTGTTGAATTCAACTATTAGAACCATTTACTTTTTCTGACATGTCGATCTGTCTATAATATTTTTTTCAACATACTTCAACATTTTTATAAATGCTTCTAATTAAATATAAGCTATTCTAATGTCGTCCTATGCGTGACCTGACACAGGTCCAAAAATATAAATTAGTAACTGATTGTGTTTAATTTGGACTTTTGAATGCTTAAGCATCCCAATGCTATTGTTGTTCTTAAATAATATATATGAGAGCTAGTCATGGATTTATTACGTCATGAAACGAGTCACTATTTGATGTGAAGAAACAAATTACTATTCAATTTTGTTACGTAATAGGTACATTGGTAGCTCTCTGGTATTAGGAAAGGTTTTCTATCATCAATTAAGCATTCTCACTTAGATTAACGAGTTTTGACAAAAAATATCTGTATTCGGCGTACAAAGCTGCCATATTGTAAAAAGTGTTGCCATTCTAACTCGTCGAAGAGTACAAAATTATTTTGTGTATATTTAGATTTAAGAAAAAAATCAGGGAGTTTTTAGTCTAAGGTCGAAAAATTTCTTGCCTGGTGCGATAGATTAGTATTTAAAAAGCGGGCAGCGATATATTTGAATTCTTAAAAGTTTCGGTGATGAAATACAACTTTCTCTTTAAATATAAGTTTTAGTGTAACAGAGTCTAAAAGTTAGATTTTAAAAATGGCATTCTAGTTGTAAGAAGCACGAATTTATTTGTTGTTTTGTATTATACTAATAGTTCTGTAGTTATTTACAAACGATTAATATATTTCTAATATATAAATTTATTCCAGTATGTGATTGGCTCCATCCAAAATTATTTATGCATTTCCTTCGCAGCACTGATACTTTATTTTAAGACACTATTATCGTGTATTTAGGAAATATGTTTTGTTTATTTAAGTTACGGTGTTGCTAGTTGTAATTTATGAAATGCCAATATTTCCGCTTTGCTCAGTACAATAAACAATTTGATCTTTGTGTGCATACTTGTTACCATAGATTATATGGCCAGGTACTTTAGGTAGGTTAAAGTTAGATGCTTATGTACAAAATAAGGTTTAATGTTTTATTGTAAAAACACAAATATATCTGATCTTAATTCTTGGTGAAAAGTTTCTATTTTGGGCCTAAATTTTCGTTGTAAATTAGATACCTCGTAATGTTGTTCGTTCCGTTGTTAGATGACGTAAGTGTCTTATTTCTATGTTTTATGATATGTTTTTTTTTCGGCCAGTTCTAGTTGTTTCTTCATGCAATAGTGTAATAGAAAATAGTTTTCGTTAATAAGTTAATTAGTTATCACATACATATTATAGATGATAATTCAACAATAAAAGCTTATTTCTTTGCTTCAAGGGCTGTCAGCTGTTGACTATCCATCAAAAATAAAAACTTAATGTCAAAAAAATTTTTTTTTTCAATAATAGTGGTTTTAGTATTAGACAATAAAGTCTTTACATTAAATTTAACTTAAAAAGCAATTCACATGAATGAAAAAATAAATGATTTTGAGCGAAGGATTGATTAGACATTTGTAAAATATAGCAAATATGCTATAATGATAATGTTTTGTTTGTTTTTTCATTTCGAAAATAAACCAAATATAATAATGTCAAAGATGGCAGTCCTCCACCAGAATGTACAATAGTTTTCCCACTTTGCCAATTTTTCTCAATAGAATAAAGCTTACGCCAGTTTTTATAAAATTGTAAATTCACTTTTGAATACGAAAAAAAAAATTGCCAAAGAATCGAATTGATTATTCTTGTTCATTGTATTTCAGATGATTTAATATAAGTTTGTTCGTAAGTTACTTTCAACTTGGGTTGGTTTTCAGTCATTCCAATATTTTCTAAACTTTCGGTGCAAACAAACCAGTAGTTGTATATGAAGGATGTAAAAAGTATGATTAAAATATTATAAAAAGTTGATTAGATGTTGATGATGTTGGAATAACAAACAAAAATAACGAAAATGGTGGAACGTTGAGAATTTGTTAGATTAAAATATATTATTACTAGAGATGTATAAATGGTTTACGATTATTATTAATTTGATACAGAAATACAAAATGGCGATTGTTACTATAAACGATATGAGAATTTAGTTATAATTTTTGCAATTTCAAAATGTGAGTTTTACAATTTTGAAAAAGAAAATATTAAATATGCTCATATACAAATAAAAATTGTTTTATTTCTATTTTTAGAGTTTACGTCGGTTTCTTACAGAATAATAGCTTACGAAGATACTTAACCCTTACACAACAACACACAATATAATATGTTAATTTTATCATCGAAATCCATAGCAAATTCATTTATCCATAGCAATATCAAAGTTATTCTGATTGCAACACGTATATGAATAACAATTATAACTTCTAAGATTTCATAAGATAAATAAATATGTCGGGACATCAACACACAGCACCATTTAGTTCTATGGTAAGCTACGAGGCTTGTGTTATAGATACCAGATAGTTGATACACTACACACAATATATAACTTTAAATACATACATACATATGATAATTATAAACACCCATGACTGGAGAACGAACATTCGTGCTCATCACACAAATGAATGCCCCCCAGCAGGACTCGAACCCGCGACCGCTGGCACAGCAAGTACGAACACTACAAACTGAGCCAAACGTGTCGTCAAGTCAAATATTAGTATAGATAAAAAAGAAAAAATAATGCAACATTCATAATTACGCTTAGTTCTTATCAATATTATGAAAGTCACACTACTGCTCTGATCAAAAACTAATCAGATATTACATTCTTGAATGAATTCAAAAAAAATCCTCCGCAATTTAACACTTACACATATGACTGAGTTTGATGTTTTTTTTTGTATCTGAATGATATTACTAAGTAATAAATTTAAAAGTAAATTGGACTCGATGGGGCTTTAAATGTCGACATCCAAATTTTTTCTTATATTAGCGAGTTTGGTTGGACTAAATGCGAAAATGTGTTTCATAGGTGTCCTATTTTCATACATCAACAAAACGAATTAAAATTTCATGGAAATAGTTTTTGAACCGATGTAGGATCCGTAGGGACCTCAAATGGATTCCGTGAAATACTAAAAAGTCAAGGAACTTACGTTACTGATATTTGAATAATAACACAAATAGATTTCCCAAATACATATTTTATTATATAGTACCAGCAGTAGATGCTTTAGGTAAAGCGACGTTAACTGGAAAGCGATCTGGATAGGGGTAGAAACGTTTGTCAGACATCAGATAGTGCGTAGCGTTGGTTATGAAATCTAAGTTTGATTGGGAACCTAAATATGAGAACATAGCTGGAAACCGCTCTGTACCACACCTGGAATTTTATTTATATTAAATAATATTAAGACAAGACAAAATTAAATTAGAATGAGTTAATTATAGATGTTACAAGTAAAAAGAAATACGAAGTATGGAGAAAGAGACTTAAGAATTACAAGTCATCTTACGAAATATAACTTCGTTATAAAATGGGGTATCGATCATCAGGAACAAAGAAAAAATAGTTCAAACAATCAAATAAATGTCAATAGATAGCATACGGTGTTTCAATTTTTTATGTGGTTTGTGTTAAACTAAAAAAATCCCGAAAATCATGTAAAAAAATGTTTTTTTGTATGGGATAGGGATCTCGAATTAGTGTTATTAAAAACCTTCATATGAAAAGAGTACAATCAGAAGGAAAAATTTAAATTAATACGGCATAATACTCAAGGATTTGTGATGTTAATATGAAGTTATTGAAAGAAAAAAATAGACCCTAAAAACCTGAAAATGCTCTAAACAAAGGAAAACGAAATATTGGATTTTCCTTATTTTTTATTACTAGATAGGCTTGTGCTTGACGACAATTCACGCTGGGAAGCACTGATAAGGTATAGATTGGAGCGCACTTGCCTAGAAGATGCCAGCCAATTCACTCTTGTCTTGAAGGTACTCAGACATTATAAGGTGGCAGGAAACAAATGATTTAATTGAAAATTAAAAAATCCTTTTGTTTCTGTTTATTTATGGATATTTAATAGCTTTATTTTTATATTATGAGTTGCTTATCCTAGATTAAAAATATCAGCGAATCACTGAAATTTTATTTTTTGCACTTTGATAAATTTCACATGTTTTAGAGAAGCCAGTAGAGATTTTACACAACATTTTATAGGATAAAGTAACGCCGTAGATGACGTTCATCTAACATTTATATAAAAAAAGATTGAAAAATAGCTTGAATTACTCAATTAATATTATGTTTGATATCTTCTGTATTAGAAGAAACAAAATTACATATATAATATCATACATATTGATGAGCACTTACAATTTGCGAATTCCCCACGACGCAAGACCCCAAAGTATGCCGTCGCTCACAGCGGGCGCGCCTGTGTCTCTCTGTGAGGCATATATATTTCTATATCATCATATTATAAAGACATATTAGGTACAATTAATGTACCTATTGTGTATATAAATAGCTCAGCATATTTTTTTATTTATCGCATTTTCTGATATAAACAACAAAGGAGTGAAACACCGCCAACATCCCATCTACTAGGTATTTATTGACAAAATAAAACCGTTTAAAAACCACCTACTACTATACTTGGTTCGAATCGGGACACGAACCCAGAACCTACGGATTTGTAACGGTACGTGCTAACCACTATACCAAGCCAGTTACGTATACATACACATATTACAGCATGAATTTAATAGAAAAAGAAAATGAGACCGTGCAAGGTGCTCTTCGTCCAGTCTGCGCGAGGCATATAAAGTTGCGTGTAACTGTAACCCCAAAGCGTTGAGTTACGTTATTACATTTGGCGTGATCCAACAATCTCGCGTGATACACGTGCAGTGTCACTCCTACATTCTGGAACACGCCGTCCCTCTGTGAAACATTTTGTCATTATTACTGTTGTTACAAAAAAATATATAAATGTAAAAAATAAATGACCTCCTAGGAGCCCCTAATATAATTTTAAAATTGGTCTTATAAGGAGAACACACGGAGCACAAAAGTTTGTATGAATGTTCGTTGTATTTGTCGTCAGAAATGTAACATGGATGTTCCAGCTTTTGTTTATGTTGCTGACGAGACTGCTGCTTGCAATGTTTTTTTTATTTACGACAAAATTCATTTCTAATAGAAATAAATAACCCTTAAAATATTCGTATATAATTGTCGGCTTACTCTTTCCGCTCCCCAACTGGTGACCCAGGCGTCTTCGAACACAGGCCACATAGCGCGGTTAGGAAGATCGACTCCATGGACCGAGTCAGAAAACCTTTCAAAGAAATGTATAAACAAAAAAAATATATTTAAAAATAGAGATAGCCTTTGCCTAAGATTCTTCATGTATAGTTTCTTGTGTATGATAATTACTCCGCTTAGAAACATGGTAGAGCCATTCTTAAGAAATAGTCTAAAAAATGGAAGAAGAATTTTTCAAATATTACTACTAGAGATTCTAACAAACACAACAAACTGTACAGCTTTAAAATATTGGACAGCTTTATAATGAATTAATAAAATAATTTGTCACAACATACCATAGCTAATATCCCACTCAAAGCTTTTTAATAAATCCATATAAATTTTAAATTTTCCACTTTTAAAGGATATATGCAATCATCCTTTTTTCACTTTCAGTCTATTCCAAATAAGTAAATTATAGTTACCTAATTTACCTCAGAAAATGTATTAGACTATTAAAAATTGTCTAAATATGTGACGAATCGAGTTATATCAGTAATATTATGTGATTACCTATATCATGCAAAGATCACGTCGATCGTCATTTCATTATCGGTCGGGTATTAAAATATTATGTTTTATTATTATTTAATGTTTATATTATAGATTTTTCAGAGATGAGATATTTTCCCGCAGTAAAAAGTATCCTATATGTTGACCCGGATAACCAACTATCATCATACCCAATTTCATCAAAATCTGTCCAGTGGTTTTCTCGTGATGCGGTCACAGATAGACAAAAATTCTAAAAACTATAGTAGTATTGATAATAATGGCTATTTCAATAAATATTTAAAAAATATTCAATATACAAATTCGGCTTAGTTACAATTTTATTATATGTGTACATAGATAAATATATACAAAATATAAAATATTAGTAAAAATCATAACAAAATGAGGACTTTATAGATAACTTACTTGATATTTCTATCAAGTAATAACAGAGCAACGTCATTATCAGGATATGACCGAATGTTCCAGCTAGGATGTTTGACCACTTCATATATCTTGGCGACCTGACCCCCACGTTCCATGTATCTGCTACCAGCTCTGACGCGCATGCGGCTGATACTTCTGGACCTGACAGAATTTTCTAATCATTATATAAGGAATTCTTAGAAGTAATGGCTAAATGAATTTATGTGCAATGTATTTATAGATTCTAAAATTTTGCAACATTAAAACATGCTGACCTATTGAGAGTTAGAATTTCACACGTTTTTTGGAACAAATTTGATTCTCTAAGACCTTTAATTTTTCATTTGAAATGTTTAGCTCAGTTTGTAGTGATCCTACTTATTGTGCCAGAGGTCGGAGGTTCGAGTCCAGCTGGGGACATACATTTGTGTGAAGAGCATGAATGTTTGTACTCCAGTCATGGGTGTTTATATTTGTAATATATATATATATATATATATATAAATGTATTTAAAGTTATATATGTTCAGTGTATCAACTATCTGGTATCCATAACACAAGCCTCGAACTAGACCGAACTAGATGGCGCTGTGTATTAATGTTCCAACATATTTATTTATTATTTAGGTATTTATAGGATATTTGTCTTAATATTATATCAGTTATGTTTAAAATGAGATTTCCATATAACATTCTAAGAATTATGACGGGTTTCAGCCCGCTTCAAATGAGAGCGAGCTTCCAATGGGTTATCACCTGGACATATAATATGTATTGTTACCATTTTTCTTGCAAAATATTTATTTTATTATTATAAAACTAATTCTTTTTTTATGACTTTACGAAACAAATAAAACTTACTTCCAAACACAATTGGCAGTGGTGATAACCAAGCGAGGGTTCAGTATTGCGCCTGCGCACCAATGTTCATCATTCTTTTGAATAGACACCACATATGGATAATCTTGGATCATAGCATCTCTCGCTGCTATTAGACGTCTATTTCGAACTAAAAGTTTTATTAAAACACTTATTTTACTTGTTCTTGTCGTTTAAAGTTACTTAAATATTCTGAATTTATAATATTGGCAAAAGAAAAAAATATTAATAACTTATAATTTTTACTTTCAATATTCATAATCAAAATCGCTTGATCATCTTTTTTTATATAATTTAAATAACCCCCTATGGTTTTGTATGGATATTGTTTTTGTATCTGAACCATACAGTACATGTCTGTGCAAAAACACGTTAATCAGTTACTGAGAGAATCAAGAAAAACCAACAAACACACTTTCGTAATTATGACATTTGGAAGGAAAAGTTATTTGTGTATTTTAATAATATTTCCTTAAAAAATCTATCACACAAAATCTAAAAGAAGAAAATACAGTCGAATTGAGAACCTCCTCCTTTTTGAAGTCGGTTGAAAAGAAGATAAGAATTGATAAAGTAAAATCTTTATTTTTTCAAAATCATTTATTGTGACAACAAGACATCAAATTTACCTTTCCTTTCTTTAGGATATTTTCCATCTCGTTTTAGATTTAGATCGGTTATTTTCTTCAATATCGCATCTTTGAAACGTGGACTAATGTTCTTCTTCGGCCTACTGGTGTACTTCAAGTTATGACTGGACCTTGTTTTTGCTTGCCTAGAAATTTTAGTTTTAGTGTTATTTAATCTTCTACTTCGCTTCGCTTTCTTTATTACAAATGGAACTTCCCTTTTACTAGGTTTCGATTTTGATTTACGTTTTTTATTATTTCGTTTCTGAACTTTTCCAGTTGAGTTCTTAGTGTCGTCCTTCATTGAAGTTATCAATTTTTTGCGTCTTACAGTTTTTTTCCTAACAGTCTGGTTTGTAGCTGTATTTATATTATCAATAGACCTTTTCTTTCTAAAAATAGAATGTTTATATACGGGTAGTACTTTCTTTACTCGTGAGTTTCGGCTAACAAATGGCTGCTCTTGAACTAACACTTCGTCTGGTACACCAAGTAATCTCATTTCAGAAATAGGTGGAAAAACCGTGTACATGTTGTTCTCAATATTTTCCTTTTTGGTATTCGCTTTTCGACTTTCCAAAGCTCGTAGTTTCTCGAATTTTCTGGCATTTATAATTTTTATATTCCTCTGTATTGGAATTTTCACCTGATTTGAATATGATTTGAATATTTTGTCTTCACATTTTAATACAATTTGTAGCGTGCTTACTAAAAGTAAGACCAGTAGTGGCTTCATTTTTATTTTGAAATATTGATGAAATAATTCCAACGCATACAATCAACACTTTACGACATTTTTATGCACGTCTCGGTAGCTTGCAAGAACGATAAATATTTAATGTCTTAACTTTAATTCGAATTGTAATTCACTACAATGAATTTTTTTTACACAATGCATATGTCGCAGGGAAATTGTAAAAACCGTAAAATTAAAGTTTCACTAGTGAATTTATAATTACCCGGAGTATTTCCAATCGTCTCCTTTTCTTACAATATCACGGGATATTTTTAGGTATATGTATATTTGTAACGTTTAGTAAAGATTTCTCAGAAATGAAATTTTTTCCCGCAGTCAAATGTATCCTATATGTTGACCCGGATAACCAGCTATTATCATACCAAATTTCATCAAAATCTCTCCTGTAGTTTTTCCGTGATGCGGTCACAAACAGACAGGCAGACAAAAATTTTAAAAACTATATTCGGCCTCTGTTACGATAATAATGTCTATTTCAATAACATTTTCCAAAAAAATATTTAATGTACAGTACAGATCCGGCTTAGTTACGATTTTATTATATATTATATATATATAGACAGTTAATTAATATATAATAATATATATATATATATATATATATATATATATATATATACTACTACTACTACTACTACTAATAATAACTTATTCGGGTCTTATAATTTCCCTGCGACATTATATACAAAGAATTATAATGAACGATAATACCTTCAAATTTCAAACCATTTTTTTTTATATTTAGAAAATATTTTAATAATTTATTTTAGTCATCATGTTCAGAGTTATTAGGTAACAACAATTATTTTTTACGCAAACGTATCTTAAAATATTAAAAGAGAAATTTAAATTTTTTATTTAGATAAGAATTTACTTATTAAGTTTATCTAAATACATGTCTTTTCGGGGAAAAAACGCAATTGTTACATCTTTTCCGAAAAGCACGATTTCACAAAACGCCGAACTCGGTTGGCTTAATATAGGTATATTTGAGCAACCTTTGCGTCCACTATATCATCTATAATTTACAAAAATACCAAACAGTATATGTATAAAATTTCGTCGTATCAAGCTTTTTAGGGTAAAAAAAACATTCAAAACCCCAATTTGTTTGGAAAATTTTATTAACATCTTATCACTAAAATATAGAACAACAAATGTAACGTGTACAAATTAATCCCGTGGGGCAATTTTCTTGAAGGTAGCAAGTTGCACAGCAAGCTGGTGTAATATCTGCTTTCCCGCGGGACCGTCGTCGGAGATCGCGCGGGATAGACGAACTGCTCGGCCGCATTCACGTACAAAGTATTCTAGTTCATTTTCTAGTTGTCGTCCGTCACCTGTACATAGTACATGCCCTTACTTTGAAACGTTAGAAAATCGCACATGTACTCGTACATATATTTATATACATAAGAGTCTAGACCAGGGATTTTAGAAAAAGGGTCTCTTGTCCAAACTATTTTGGACAAGAGAACCCTTTTCTAAAATAAACTGATACCTACCTCAGACCCCCATAGCCAAAATACTTTAAAAAGTTACTTTAAAACAGTGTTTTGAAAGTTTCAAATAAAAACTTGTGATAATTAATAGGAGTCGATTTTTAGACCTCGTCGACCCCCAAAATTAGTTTTCGTATAATATGTGGACCCCTGGGAAATCGATATCGACCACTTTGGGAATCCCTGGTCTAAGCGTGTATTGGCTAAGTGCAAGCTGGTAGTGTGTTTATTTATGTGATAACCTTGGAAAATATTCAAGAATTGACGAATATAGTCATTTTCTACTCAACTTTCACTATAATACAAAAAAAGTAATATATATATATATATATATATATATATATATATACGCAAATATATATAAATCAGTCGTATATATATATATATATATATATATAGTGTAGGTGTATATATATATATATAATGTTATTTACCTTGTCCTAATCTGGTGTTATGAGGTTGAACACATTTGTTAGCGAGCCTCGCCAGCTGCGAGCGCTCTGAACTGAACGCTTCGTCCAAATCGAACAGCTCTAGCGGAGGTGGCGGCGGCTCTCGGAATGTTGGTGAAAATACCTAAAGATCAAAATAGTACTTAAATTATAAAGGAAAATGGCGTTAATCACGTGCGTTATAGTTAAAGAGTAAGTAGAAAGCAGTACATAGTTTTTTTAAATTAAGTAGTTACGCAAAGACAAAGAAGATATATTAAAATTTAAATAATATATGTATAGAAATAATCAAAAATGCCATCCCAATTTTTACACTACCTTAGGTATTTCGCAGAACCAATATGATTTAATACTGTTATATAGAAAAAAAAATAAATAAATATCTAGTATAGTATTATATAATCTGTGCTATTATTATCGTAAAAAAAGCAAAAAAAAAAGCTAAAAATTGTAATAGCATTGTACGTACAGCCAATTGTAATGGCGGGTAGGGTGTTTCGAACTGCGGGGCTATCAGTCGTAGAGGCTCATGTTTTACTCCCAACTCCTCATATAGACCTAGAACTTCGGGTACTGAAAATAAAGAGATTTACTAACTTTTCATGTTTTAAAATTATGTATTTTAATACATGCCCCATGTAGTTTATTTATATTTTATTACTCCGTTCCCACAAGTCGTCGCGTGATGCTACATAAACGTTAAACAATCACAACCCTCAGTAAATAGGCTATGAAATGCAAATTTTTAAAATTCGACCAGTAGACAGTAGGATAGACTCGTAGGATAGATTATCGGTTACATATTTCAGGTATGATGATGTTTGTGAATCAAGTCGGAAAAAATCATCTCTTCTGAGAACTTTCGTTACTAAAAATACGATGATTATAAATAAGTAAAGGTTATCTAGGCCACTAGTCTAGTTATATTTATTAGTAAAATGAAAATATGGTATTAATTTTTTGAACTATTTTCCTTTTACGAAAATATTCAACTCTTTTTTTCTTCAAGTCTCTACAGACAAAAATAAAGTAATATTTTTTTTTATTTATTATTCGACAGGTACTAACATGTCAATGTAAACACCTATAGCAAATATGACAGGAATTAAATACCAAACAAAAATATATAAAATATAAACGATACACACAATGTGATAAATTAAGAGAAAATAGCCTCCAAGTGAACAGCGCGTGAGGATGTAAGGGAGCAAGGCGAGGTGGTGGAGCGCTAGCTGGCTCCGGCAACAGTATCGAGCTCAGCCATAGGGTGTCGCCCAGCGTTCTGTATTCGTTTATCTGTGAAAATATTAATATTCAATTCAATTCCCTTCAATTCATTTCAATCGGTTCAATTCAATTATCTTGTTAATGCCTTAAAAGCGTGCTCCTTGAGAACAGATTACTTCGCCAATGATCAATGTCACGTAGAATGGAGAAAATATGAAGGATGGAGATTGGGATACTAATATTATAGGCACATTATAATTTTAATATGTATGTGTTTTCACACCTAAAAAAGACAAATATCTATTTTAGGTGTGTATAGAAAAAAGAAGAAGTCGCCACTCGCTGGTATTATTATAAATGTTAAAGATTTTTAGTCATTGAGTGAACGAGTATGTGTTTTTGTCACCTCTTTACGTAATGGTTTTAAGTGTATATGTTGAGTTGTTTTAAATAAGGGTAAAACAGATAAAAATTTATTACATCAGGATCTTCAACATCAACAGGATTCAAGTGCAAATCGGCGACACCTCCCAAATAGTTGAAGATCATTTCTCGGATGAGATCATTGCATTCACTCTCCAAATATTGATCGGCGAAAAAATGACCAGAACCGATGACGAATAATTTTCCTACAAAATAAGTAATCAGATATGTCAGTGTTGTACCCCTAGAATAATTAGTTTTGTACGATCGAAATCGCTAAGAAAATCTAAAATAAATATCAGATCAGATCAGAATATTCATATATGATTTTTGCAATAAACTCTAAGAGTTAGAAATAAATATTAATAAAATAAACTAGACACTTTTTGTGTTAAATCACCTTCACCTGAGTCCCGCATTAAAAACAAACATATTTTTGTTGTTACAGTATTACAAGCTTACCCGACAGACGATGCCCTGTCCCAATTACAATTAGTTTATTTATAATCATTAAAGCCAAAAAAAAATTGTATAGAAAACTCATTTTCATTTTCTCTCGAATTTCCCAATTATCCGGGCAACTAGTCCAATTTTTTTCACTAAAAACCTAATTTGGACTCTTTAAAAACCCAGCACGGCCTAGCCTTACCAACAAGCAATGTTTAATTTTTATTACATTGATATTTGAATTATAATGTAACTACCTCCACTCTTCTCTGAAGTGTACATAGCGGCTACCGGTCGCTTGACCGGGTAACACACGTCACTACTCGATAAAATGGCCGCCGCAGGTTTCTTCACTGTGAGCGTTGCCCCATATGGATAGACGAAGTTAGGTGTAGGTGGGTCCTCTCTTAAATAAATAATAATAAAAGTTCAGCCCCTTTTAACACCACACAGCTGGGTACCCCTACGACGGGGGATCATGTCATAATCTACCACGCTGTCCAAGTAGGAGTTGGCGGACTTTGCTTGTCTTTCACAAACTAGTTAGGTTCTCTCAAACCTGCAGATTTTCTCATCATATTTTTATTGATTGCACGGCAAGCGGCAATCATGTTAGAAATGATTAACGCATGTAAATATCAGAGGTGAGAAATTTTGAACTCCCGTCACCTGATTTTCAAAGCGAGCACGTTATCACTGCCCTATGACTGCTTTATACAGTTAGTACCTCTTTTAAATAATTGCTTAAATAACGAGAAAGGCATAGAAACTAGGAAGATTCGGTGGTTTGATCTCCCGATTTGGTTCGACGATCCCGGTCCGTCCTACGCAATATTGGCGAGATAATTGTCCTCAATTGCTATTCCTAAAAGCCAAAAACTATTTTTCTCGCACGACAGCTGCTCAAATTAGTATGTAATAATGTACATAGTTAACAGTAACAGTGAGTGTCCTAATTACTATCCTCTGTGGATATTGAATACAATCTTCTCTTAACAAACATAATATTATGTATGAGGAATTTATCAGCAGAAGTTAGTTATGCAAATTGCCGATAAAGAAACTACTCAATGCTAATAGAATTAATTATATTAGATATACGCTCGCGGTAAACTACAAAAAAAACTGCCAAAAAGGTAGGTTTCATACAAACTTTCATCCCCTGTTTTATCCCCTTATGGGATGAATTTCGAAAACAGCTAAAACAATTATTTATTTAGTTGTATTGAAGAGCATTAATACCAAGTTTCAAGTAATTCTAATAGTAAATATTTTTTTGGGTTGTATTACAACTTGTTTTCCCGTGCGAATGAGATAATCTCCCGCGGTAAAAAGTAGCCTATGTCACTCTCCAGCCCTCCAACTATCTCCACACAAAAAATCTCGCCTTCCAGTCACTGCGTTTCGACGTGAAAGAAGGACAAACAAACACACTTTCATATTTAGAATATGGATCAGTATCTGAATGCTTTTTGAATATAATTATATGTATGACATGGGCCTCCCTTCAATACGAGGGGGATCAGGTCATAGTTCACCACGCTGCCCAAGTGCGGGTTGGCAAACTGCACATGTCTTTGGAAAACTTGCTATGCTCCCAGACATGCAGGTTTCCTCACGATGTTTTTTTTCCTTTACCGTAAGGCAAGTGATAATCATGTTCTTAATTAACAAATGTTGGAAATGGATAAGTATAATTATTATTGTATTTATTAAATAATAGATATATTTTAGGTACTTACAGAAAATCATCGGTTTCGCTGGTATAGTTGGGCATCTTCATGATATGTTTTAAGACACCGCGGTTTAAGATACCATTGGATATGTGACATTCTTTTGGATGGTAAAACTTATGGTACTTCGCACGAACGACGCAATCTATAAATAAATGTGTCACCAGACTAAACTTTTTATTTTAAATTTATATTTGACTAACGAACTCTAAGAGCCTCAAGCCTTATGTATAATAATGTTTCAAGCTTTATGTACTGCCGTAATAAAACTCTATTTGTTTTTGTCATTTCAAACGACAATTTAAATAATATAAGCGAAAATAAAGAGAATTCTGAAAATTTTAAACTAGAAAGCATCTTAATAAAGAAATATATTTTTAATGCAGTTTGAAACATTGTCAACTAACCATTATTGACTACAATTCCATACTCTTCTAAAAAGAAATTAATGTTAGTGTTCATGCGTTCCTCTCCACCATCAGTCATAATAACTAGCACAGAGTCTCCTCTTTCCACTACACTCTTTAATGCAGCCAGCTCATCATCAGTGAACGCGTTCTGTGGACCTGGTATCACCAGAATCTTCACATCTTGGAGTGCATTGGATGATATGTCTTCGCGATTACTAAAAACAACGTCCTTGGATAGTTACTTTTCAATAGCTCAGTTGTTTATATGATGATCACATCTATTATCTGTAGCATTAGCTTATGTTAGAAGCTTTTTTGATATTAGTACCACTAATTTCGCTAATATCACTACGAAATTACTTTATGTACCGGAATGAAATAAGCCACTCTCTCTCCGACTCACCAACGTCTCTACACTTATTATAAACCACGTTTAGATTCGTTACCACATTGCAACAAGAAGGAAAAAGCCAATAAAAATACAAATATTAACACATTTTCATATGTAGGTAGGATATAATCTAAGGATATTTTAAAATAAATTAAGTTAGTAAAAGAAACTCACATCATAACTTTCCAAGCAGTTTTCAGTTTGCGATGCAACATTTTGTAGTTTTCATTAATTTTAAACAGTTCATTTTTAGATATATCGAAAAGTATCGTATCGATGGCTTTCATTTTTGCTTATATCAAATATTATTATTTTATTTAGTTAATCAACATAGACTACATATAAGCCGTTTGAAGTTAGATTTGTTGATACACGAAGTTGTTTCCATAGAAACAGTGAAACGATAATATATTTTAATGTTCATACGGCTTTTGTAGACAAGGCATAATATTATTCAGCCGGATAATTGGAGAAAAAACGAAGGCATTTTTAAATAAGTTTTTTTTTTACTTTGGATCCAGAACTTTCAGATATGCAGCCTAATTTGATAGTTTATTTATTTTGTTTCGACAGAACAATCTCACCCGTAACCATGTCTGCTATAAAGTACCTATTCAAAGCTTCGGGAACAAATACACAAAATAAAATCGTATAAATAATTTTATTAATAATGGTAAAACATCATGAGGTCTCCATGACTGTGACTTAAGTACCTTCGAAGCAGAATTCCGCCAACGAAGTTGGCCAGCGTGGCCCCTTCTTTGCATTAAGGACATGCAAAGGATTTGCTGCATTTGTGGTCAGCGACGAGTAATTAAAATGGCTGAATTATTACTCTTTTGCCATGACCATAGACAAGCTTACGATAAGGAAAATAGATAAAACAATAAAACCAAAAAAATAATCATCAAATAATATATTTTTATTTACAACTCGAATAATCGAAACTTTCGAATCAAATTTCATATCACTAGCATATAAGCTATAATATTCTTTTACATCTAAATTTAGCCTGTATTTACAAATTCCAATCATTAATTTATTTATAAAATATTGCTAATTTCCATAAAACATAGTCTTCAAGACCTGACATCTAGATAACATAAAAACCTGAGTTTAAGACGTAGTGTGAAAAATACTAAAAAAAGCCGTAAAAAGTAAAATGCGAATGTCATATTACATTCAAAATTATAAAATAAATTATCTTGTTTTAATTCCACGTTAAAACTGCTAAATTTCAAAATTACCGCTCAAGCTCATTCGTGTGTTTCTTTCTTACACTACGTGACACTGACACAATGTATTGCATCTGCGCAACTCTAAGCCACAAAAGAAAAAAAATATTTGGAGAAATTGTAACTACACAAGTCATAATCTTTTAAAACAAAGTTATATATTCTATAATGACGTAAGTAACATTTTAGAAAGAATTTTTATTATTTCTCATTCTCAAACAAAAAGTGCGGCAATAATTATATGAGAAACAACATATCGCATATTTATCTAATATAATAGTAATATAGTAGTATCGTTTCCAACATACCTTTGTAGTTATCGATTTGAGCAAAATAGATCCAAATCGGTTGCGGTTCGCAATATTTTAAATTAAACATGACAACATTTTACATCTTCTTACAGCTTTGATCCAAAACCGGCCATGCTCTTCTATTTCAACATTAATTTTTAAACTCACTTTACATTTTTTAGAATACGTTTTAGACCTTCTATCTGGCATATAATTTTACAGATTCACCACGACTATAACTGAATATGAATTATCAAAAAAGCACAGTGTCTCTATAGTTTAGCATAAAATAAGATTGTCTAAAAATATTGCATAATATTGTCAGCTATTTGGCAGTAAATGTAAATAAATATAAAAGATATAAATTACATAATAAAATACTAATTTCGGATAGGAAATAAATGGGAGTGTGCGATAGTACGAATCGAATATTTAATCGATTAAAATCATTTATATTAGTTAATCTCATGAAAAATTGAGTATTCAAAACTTAAAATTATCTTTGAAATTACAAGTGATAAATAGATTTTTCAATCAAAATCTCAAATTTTAAATCGAATATCGTATTCGGTTAGATTTTATTCGAACTATTCGCACATTCCATAAACAAATGTTTTATAGTAATAAAATATTTCATTAAATGTTAATTCGTTGTTGCCATTTGTTAATTCTCACATACAACAGAAAGATTTAAAAATAATTGTGCTATTTAAAGAAAGTTAAACATTTTAAAAATAAACTTTAGAATTTATATAATAAATAGAAAATACGGAACACATGTTGTTAGCGTTTAGTCTTTAAGAGATTTACACAGTGATTTCCATCAGGGCCGGATTATCCATAAGGCAGTTAGAGGCCCCGCATCGTCTAAGGTCCCTACACCGAGAAAAAAAAATTAAAATATTTCATCGAGTGAATATTTAATTTGAAAAATTAAAAAATTAGGTCAAAATTCCATTATGAGGACAAACACTACAGTAGATTTTTATAAAATCTAACTTATGCGTAATTACGAATATAGTCGCATTGTGGTAAAGAAAACGTAATTCAATAAGTTAGACAAGGGTGAAGGGGCCCGAGAATTGCATTGCCTAAGCCCCGACATGGTTAATTCGGCCCTGGTATCTATAATCGAGATCGATACGCAGAACTTTGAATAAATTGCAATAAATAAAACTATCTTTTTCTCTTCTTTATCTGTCTCTCCCGTGACCATGATTGCTGTAAAGCATTCGAAACGTCGAGAACAAAAAATCCAAATAAATCTCGCGAAATAATCCGAAAAGATAGTTTTATTTAAAATGTCAAATATACGCGTAAATCTAAGAAAGTATTAATACAAAAAAGAAACATATTTATGTATATCCCAAACAACCCTAACTTTAAATGCCTTTTACAATGAAATGAATTATACTAAAATATAGTAAAACATACATATTATATATGACAAATTGATTTAATCAATTTCACTAAAACACTATAACGGTGTACGAAAGTAATAAAAAAAATGCCCAAAAAGTTAAGTTTTCAATAAAACATTTTTCTAAAAAGTTTTTACTAAAAATATTAATTATCTGTACATTGTATAGGATATAAAAACTTACGTAGTAGGAATGGAATTAGATAATCTAATTTATTTTCTACATTTGATATATTTACAAAAAAAAATCTAGTATTTTGTTTTTCGTCGTAAGTTTTGAGCTGACTTTGAGCTTTAAACTAAAATATTTATAAATAATTGAAAACAAAATATTGTAATCGCTTGAAATTAACTATGAATAGTGTACTTACATGAGCTTTTACGTCTAAGCCATTATTGATATGATTTTTGAAGTTATACTTCTTTTGGCTCGTTTGGAAAAAATTATCACATCGTAAAAAAGAGAGTAACATTTTTACGATGCGCGCGCACACCGACAGCCAAAAAGCGACATGATGAAGGTAGCATACGCACATACGAGATGAAATCTTTAGCTATTATTGTTCTTTTACGCCAAAGAAGTATAACTTCTTACGTGCGTACATATATATACACACACGTTTTTTTTTTAATTTGTATTTTACGAGCCTCGTGACGTATATCAAGTTTGCACAAAGCTATCATCTCTTAAATCCGTGTTAATTGATGTAATTTATACATAGAATAATGAAAAGTTTTCGTTGAAAGTTTTATAGTAACTAATAGTATTATTTAATTAGGCCAAACTTCATATCTATTCTTATATTGTGAAGGGAAAATAATAATTGCATATTACAGGCCCGCTTTTTTAATGTTTTAGCCATTGACATACAAAAACACACTACCCAACAAATATCTCTTCAAAAAGTCTTTGAACTTTGATGATTCTTTGTGTCGTCGAGAAAGAATCATCAAAGTTCAAAAATCGATAGTTCTAATTGTGTAAACATAAACTCGAACTTACGCACACCACATACAGTACTTTTTTAAACAAACAACGTGCGTTTTAATTTTGTCATCCGAAAAGCAATGAACAAGAAATTTGAAAATACGCATAATTTCGAATTGTGCACTTTTTTTTTGAGGACACTTTCGAGACGCTAATAGTGTATCTTGAGTTTTTGTATAACAATATTTAGGGCCATATAGATTCAGCCTCATTAATATTGCCTTTATAGACCACAAGTACCTCTTTAAAAAATATAAATAAATTTTTTTATTGAATTTAATTTTTATATAGATTTTGGCGTGTCTTTTTTGTTTTAACTTCTTATAAATACCAAGACAGCAGAACATCGTGAGAGTAATTATTTTTATACATATATGTATAATGTTTGGACCAACAAAGGTGACCTACAAAGAGCGATGTTTGTTCATAGTTTTATAAATATATGTATATAGAGCTGTTATAAAGTTTCACTTGCTTGTAGTAGGTACTTACTGACTTCAGAAAAATCATTCATTTACTAACTATATATATATATATATATATATATATATATATATATATATATATATATATATATAGTTAGTATTTTGACTTTGCTACATATCTATAAATACCAGGAAAACAGAACACCTGAAGAGTTAGTTGTATCGCAATTTTAACTATAGTTTAAAGTTTAACAAGTCAAGTGGTGTCAATTGTAACAGAAGTACCAGGAGAACATGAACCAATTGGAGTGTGCTTATATAAAGTGACATAGAGTAGTTAGTTAGTGTCTAAGTAATCATCAAAGTTTTTGTAAAACGCTTGTTGTAGAGTTTTCGTAACAAAAGTACCAGGAGAACATGAACTCAGTGGAGTTTGCTTATAAAAAGTGACAGAGTAGTAATTAGGTATGTAGTATGTAATAAAAGTTTTTGTAAACGTCGTTGTTATAACGTTTTTGAAACACAAGTACCAGGGCAGCAGCAAATCATAAGAAGCCCATGTCTAGGGCGTTGTATAATGCGGCTATATCCGAATGTCCGGATATCCGCCAGAAGGGATAGTTCTTCGCTTTGGCCGCGGCCTCTTCGTCCTGTCCGTCCCCTATCACTACGTATGTGCATCGTTCACCGAAACGTTGTTTTATCTTTTCGAAGCATGTTTCTTTTCCTGTGGAATATTATATATAAAGATTTATTATTATATTAGGCTCGCCTCGGTGGTTCAGTGGCTAGTAAGTACGGCTACAGATCCGAAGGTCCTGGGTTCGAGTCTCGGGTTGGGCCAAGTTTAATAACTGAGTTTTTCTGTTAAGATACTTTCAGTAACAACCCGGAGTTGGGAAGCTGGCGGTTTTTCACTCTCAACACCGCCCGTGTCTCGGAGAGCACCTAAAGCTGTCGCTCCTGCTGATATTTTTGTATATTTTTGCGATTTATTTAGATTTATTTTTTGGTTTTCTCCCGTGATCATGATTGCCGTAAAGCATTCGAAACGTGTGGAACAAAAAATCAATATAAATCCGCTAAAAAGATCCGAAAAGATAATATTATTTAAAATGTCAAATATTCTCGTAAATCTAATAAAGTATTAGCATTTATTTGTGCCATAGTTTAACCGACTTCCAAGAAAAAAACCTTTCTGAATTCGGCTTGGTTTTTTACTACAATATATTTATATAAAATGTACACAAATAATTGTTTTTTCACCTGTTTTTGTCGCAGAATATATATTTTCAATAGGGAACACACCACCAAGTCCAAATAAAAGAACTTTGGCGAGCGCTGGAACGAGTTGCGTCGTCGTCACTAGCACGTTCACGCAATTTTCTCTATAAATAAAACATTTAAAATGTTTATTTTAGTGCAATTAGCGTTAACTAAACTTGTTCATTTGGTTTTCATTTTATATAAATAAATAACATTGATATACAATAAAATAAAAAAAAAACAACTTCCAGGCACTAAAATGTAAAATATAACTAAACGGGGTTTTTTTCATTTAGAATAGATACCTAATCAGTGATTTTCGAAGTCGGTGCCAATGCAAAGTTAAAATGAGTTTTAAATTTTTAAATAATTTAAAAAATAAATGATATATATTTAAGTCTCTAAACTTTCATGGTCACTGACAATATCATTGGGATGGGATTGGGCAGTTACAAACGCCATGGTCACACCATTGTTGTAAAAGTGCTGAAATATCGGAAACTCTTAAGTGATAAACATGGGAAATATCCCGTGTTTCATCACAACGATATATTATGTAATATATTCAAAAACTCATGTATTAAGTCTAATTGAATAAAGTCTATCTCATTTCATTTATATTTAGACAGAATAATTTATACCTAGAATTAATCATATTAAGACATTTGCAGGCGAGTGTGAGCCAGTTGTCTGTCGCTTGCTCTATTTCCGCCCTGAGTTGAAGCCATTGTTCTCTTTTCGCTGGTCCAAGTAAACCACCAACGCTGAAAAAAAAAATATTATAAGAGTTATTTATTAGATAGTTTTTCTATAATTGTAGTAAAAAATCAACAATATTACAGACTGTCGTAATAAAATGTAAAAATGTGTTTGTTTATTTGTCCATCTTTCACGTCGAAACAGAGTGACGGATTGGCGTGATTTTTTGTGTGGAGATAATTCAAGGGCTGGAGAGTGACATAGGCTACTTTTTACCGCGGGAGATTATCTCATTCCCACGGGAAAACACGTTATAATATAACCCAAAAAAATATTTATGATCAGAATTTCTTGAAACTTGGTATTAATGCTCTTCAATATAATTAAATAAAAACGTGTTTTAACATTCTTCGAAATTCTCTCAAATTCTCTTCTCAATGTAAAGGGGGTTCATCTTAGGCCAGGCAGACGATCTAAGACTTTCGAAAATTAATTAGGTTCTCACAGACGTGCAGGTTTCTTAAAGATAATTCACCATAACAATTAGCGACTTTGTGCAACATCATGACAAAAATTATTCGCAAATGAAAATGAGTTTGAGCCTACTGTAATTGCTTTTTTCAATATACAAACACGAAATACAAAACATTTAGTCAATAAACTATACAGATTAAAAAGAAAAGCAGAACGTCATCATGTGTTTATAGGACGGCCATCATGAAAAAATGGGATGACAATAACAAATAAAGTACCAGGACTTTATGAATCACGAATTTAAAAAAAAGATACATAACAATCACAAATGAAGTACCAGGATATCATAAACCATGTGTAGTTTAACTTACCTATTCCTATAATTATTGTATGTGTCCTTTATTTTGCGGTATCGGAAGGCGAGTTTGCGCATCCAATCGACCCCGCCCCGTACACCAGGCGCGCAGAGCCCCGTGTTGGGCGCGGCGCTCGCGTGGAAGCCGTCCGAGGCGAAGTTGTATGCGGAGAGGTCTTGGCCGTTGTCGTCTGCCGCCACCGCGTCTATGTGCTCCTGGTCGCAGTCCTAGAAATAATAAATGTTAAGGTCATCTTTATTTATTATTTATTGTATGTATGTGTAGATTTAGCTTTTAGTTAAGTTGCTTATATATATGCTATTGTTGGTTACATATATATGAGCTATTGAAATATATAAAAAAAGTGTGTGTGTGTACGCACGTAAGAAGTTATACTTCTTTGGCGTAACAGAACAAAAATAGCTAAAGATTTCATCTCATACGTCACAACTGTCTGTTTGTAAAAGGAATGCAGCTAACTTCATCATGTTGCTTTTTGGCTGTCAGTGTGAAAAATTTTACTCTCATAATTTTTTTCAAACGTGCCAAAAGAAGTATAACTAAAAAAGCTACCACTAATGTTTATAAAGCAAAAATTATTTTTAACTTATTTTTGTATGTTATTCAAAATTCTTATTAAATGTAAAAATTAGAAAAAGTTATTGTTAGAACATTGTTACTTAGTAGCTGAGTGCATATAATAACCTGCAATAAGGCAAGAAATTTATGTACTTTTTTGTTTTTAATTCACATAAAGATCCACATACTCGCAATATTATTTATAAAAAATATTACTAAAATAAATTCCTATGAAAAAAAATTACATATTAAAATATCATAGATATTAAGATTAAATTTACCTGAAATTTTTGATATAGTTTAAACTTATTTGAGATTCCTTAACTCTAATAAATATAAAAAGTATTTATAATGTGTAAAAAAATGAAAGTTGAAATATAAATATCCATACTAATATAATAAATGTACAGCTGGACGAATCTGGATGAAATTTGGTTTCTTTTTATCCCAGAAAAATGTACTGTTTCCGCGGGATATATTCGTTTGTATAGGTAGGGACGAACCTGAAGTGAAGCAAGGATGAGTTGCTAGTTTTAAATAATATTACCTCTACATCATTAAAGAAGAAATGTGTGTCAGCTAAACTAAATATCATTTCTTCCATTCGGAATCCTAATTGCATTATTTGTTGTGTATCCTGGAACAATAATAAATGAAACTTTACTTTTAATATAATGTGATAGAAAACAAAAGATTCTAACTTCTTAGGAAACACCAGAGTTTTAAATATTGCTTTATTTTATTTTTGTACATACAGCTTTTTACTAAATGTATATGAAAATATATATTGGTACTAATAAGACAAAAACAATTTTTAAAATTTTTGTCTGTCTGCTTGTTCCAGCTAATCTCCGAAACAGCTGGACCGATTTTGACGGGACTTTCACTGGCAGATAGCTGATGTTATAAGGAGTAACTTAGGCTATTTTTATTTTAGAAAAAGAATCAGGGTTCCTCACAAAAAAAATTAAGACCCATGAAATTGTGAACAAAATCTTGCCCAGCGATGCACCCAAGTGAATCGAGGGTAAGCCGCTAGTATGTTTAATAAAAGGTTTGATGAATAAATTAATTTTATAATTTTTTGGTATACCATCTATTTACTTACAGATAGTTTAATATAGTTGTAACATATTTTTGAGATTAGTTAAAATTAATACAATTATAGAAAATTGGCTGTTTGAGAAAATTTTATTCATTTACCTTATTGTACTTAGGTGCATATGTTCCAGTGAGTAATGTATGAAATATAATGATAGTTTCATCTAAATCCCAAATAAAAACCCTCTCAGTTGTAGGTTCTGGTACATGTTGTGCAGGGGACGATGATGTATTACGTCGACCTCTCCCTCGTGACCTACTTGCTGTACTTTCACTATAAATAAATATTTCAATAATCAGTAATTTTATGGAAAATAGACATTAAAATGATTGATTTATAATTTCTTTACATATTTTATAAAAACAAAGCTCAATTTTATTCTAATACATAGTTCTTATCAAATAAAATTATATTATTTACCTAATAAGATAGGCTGAAAAGCCATTATACTTCTAAGAATAAAAACTTGTATAATTAGGTTAAAAAAATTGCATAAAATACAAAGGAAGTGAGTAATGACATTTAAAATTAATTAGTTTAACGTCAATTAGCACCAGATTAATATTAAAGGCATAAAAAAAACAATTGCTATTACAATTTTATTTAAACAGTAATTATATCTAAGTAAATAAAGCATTTGGCGCCATAACAACTATAATAATAATAAATATATAAAGAATAATGAATTATTTGATTTATAGTTAATACAATTTAACAATTAGAATATTTATTATTTTATTTTATAATATTAAGCTATGACATCCAAATTTAGTTTACCCTGAATTTTCTCGACATCTCCGACTTGCAGCATGTACTTCATTTTTTATTGGAGATAGAGGTGTATCATTTAATGTGGGCAACATTGAAGAGGGGGACTCTGAAAGAATAAAATGGCAAATGCACTAAAAATATTTAAAAAAACCTTATAATAAAAAAAAACATTGAACTAAATTGTTGATTATGAAAAATCGTATGTTGCAAGATCTTATTAAGTATAAGCAAGCAAAAAAGAAATATTTGATACTGATCAATTAATAAAGTTTTAAAAATAATCAAGTTTAGGTTATGTTACACGTTATTATTTTTAATTACCATCATCGCTATCTGAATCTGGCCAATAATCTGAATTATCGTCATAATCAACTAAAGAATCAGTTTGATCTTCTGTTTTTCTACGTTTATTAGGAACACCATCGTTTTCTCTAACCATATTTACTTGCTAAGAAGAATATTGTAAAAAACAATAGTTTGGAATGTTTTATTAAATTAATTGACTACATAAAATAAAATAAAAAACACAAAGCAAATAACTTATTAGAACATATTTAAATGATTTAAATAAATATTCACTACATGTAAACAACAACACACAAAGTTGAAAACAATTAACAAATGGCAGCTGCCAAATTCAATGGCAACTAAGTAACTGTCAAAAAAGTGTTATCAACATATTAAAATGGTAACATGAGTTTTATGCTAAGGGAACAAGGTGCAAAGTTGAGTGTAAAACTTGGTACCTCCATAGACAAGCGCAAGATAATTAGTCTTAGATAGCAACAGTTAATAAATAATGTATTACAAAAGTAACAAATCTTTTTATCTTAAATATCATATAATATAACTTAATTCATTTAAAAAAATATCAAAATTATAATTTTCTGTATTATTATAGTACATTTTTTACAATGGTTTCTGTCTGATAAATTTTAGTGGATAGTGTTTCATCGTAAATAAAACGTATTTTTTATTTTACCTGATAAAGCCCCTCCAAGATGATATGATGTGTGTCCTGCACTCCCACTACTACTTGGTGAGGAGACATAAGGGGAATAACTAGGTGTTGCATAGTAACCGCCATACTGCGCAACACTATGGTCTGCGTAGCCAGTAGCGTAGCTACTATAATCCTGCGAAAAAATAATTAACGAATTCTTAACATATATTTTAAAATATAATTTTGCAAAAAAATATCTATATGTACAGCAAATCTTGTTTTATAATTAGTTGGTGATATTGTTACTAGATGGCACTAGTAGTGTGTCTCAATATTCACCGTTACTTCAAGTCATTTATTATATCATGTTGGTATACGTAGTAGAATACTATATTACGAATGTAGTAATTAGAATTGGACATCAGAACAATAAAATATTTATAGTTCATTAATAAAACATATTGACGACTAAATATCGTAAAAGATTTCAATGTTCTTATTGAGCTGTTCAAAATTTATATCCTCTACACTTTGATGAACATTCTCATCATTTAAAAAAATATGTGTGAAATTAGTAATACATATTTTTACCTGTTGAGGGTTTGTAAAAGATTGCGTCAACCCGCCATTATAAGACGGGTAGTACGGAGAAGGTTGCGCTGCGAAGTTACTTGGAACTGAACCCACACTACCTACACCATAGCTGAGATACGTCGGCGTCGCTTTGCAAGACGACCTAAAGGACAAATCATATGATATTTAATAATATACGGCGTAATGCGATTTTATTTGCAGGTTAATATTACCATCGCACTCGGTAACTCCGATATTACAATATATTTCTGTAAGACATGCCACATGACTTCCGTGTTTATACAAATAGCAATAAAATGGTTAAACTTGAATATACTCGAGAATAAGTAAAAACAAAAAAAAATACTATTCATAATATTCAGAAGAATGCATACAGTGTACTACGTTCATAAAAAATAAATTATCTATACAGATAAATAAATTTGAAGTGTCTGTATATAATATCAAAATAACAGCGTTTTACTAAATGCATATAAAATTATATACGGTACTTATAACAAAAACACAAATTTTTAAATTATTGTCTGTCTATCTGTCTGTTTGTTCCGAATAAACTCTGAAACAGCTGGACTGATTGACGAGACTTTCACTGGAAATTAGCTGATGTTATATGGAGTAACATAGGCTACTTTTATTTCAGAAAAAGAATTAGTGTTCCGCTTAAAAAAATTAAAACGTACCTAGGGACGAACCCGAGCGAAGCGAGGGTGAGTTGCTAGTGTACAGATAAAGTAAGAAATAAATATAAATACCTGTTATTAGCGTTATGCGGCGGTGGATATGCCGCGTAAGGTTGGTTGTACAATGTCGAGCTGACGTACGACGATGCCGTTCCGCCGCCGCCATACTGCTGCATACTGAGAAGTAATGTAATAAATAAAAATAGATAATAATAAATATTCAACATATTTGTAACTTATTACATTATAATTTTAAAGACGTAGTGTTTTTTGTTGAACGATTATTATTTATATAATTTTGATCGTTATGTTAAGAAATATTAATTACCCTTATTAAAATGTACATTTATTGATTTATATTTGCTTTAGATGTAGCTTTTCTGTTGCTACAATTGGTAATTTGTGTGCGAGTTTCGAAAAATGTGATACAGTGTCATTAAAAGGGAGGAAGTGATCCAAGCAATAAATGATTTATTTTAAGAACGACCTCTAAAAGCTAGTGAGTATACTAACATTTCCAAGTTTTTCTATTTTATCAATACCTTAAAACGTAATCTTATTAATTTATGATGTTCTTCTCTTTTGTGGCTTCCGATAAAACCTCTAAGAGTTCAATAACCCATATATTGGATCATCGAATTCAATATATATATAAGACGTGAATTTAAAAAATTAATGGAGTTTCTTACTTTTACTATGCTTAGTATTAATAAATTATTTTAATATTGTTGGGTTCTGATTGAACAATCTGATTGAAACTTGGTAAGGAACCCTAAAGATAAGTCTAAGTTTTAAAGTTTACCAAAATAATCAATAAAACAGTTCTCACATTCCATAAAGTGTAGATTGATGCTTTAATTAATTTAGATATGATTTAGCACATATAATTCAATAAGTAGCACTTATACCTATTATAATACTGGTAAGGCAGCGTGGACTGGTCGTATGGCAATGATTCACCGTACAACGCCACGTCTGCTTCGCACAGCCCTGGGCTGCGCACCTCGCTCTTGACGCCACCACCTAGAGTAAAGGGTAATATGCTATCAAAATAAGATAATATAGCAGTCTCTAAAGAAAAAACCTCTTAAAAGCCTCTCAATTAGGGCGTATGTATTCTTAAACAAATTGTGACTGCCTAGTTCGTTTAGTGTTTAGCCAGTAGGCTCCCACATCAGACAAAATACAATTATTAAAGACTCAAGAAATTCCATCCTTTAGAGTGGAATAATTTTATATTTAAAATGATTTTAAAATCATTGTACTACATAATTAGAACAGTTATTTTTTTGAAGTATAATAATTATTAAAGGCGTAACGTAAATTATATTCAGCTAACAAATGTGGAGGTATAGAAATGTTTTTATAAAAGACATTTCTAATCTAATAGAATCTTAATGTGATAAATAAAAATAAAAACATTTACCCGTACTATCCTCATTCATCAACCAGGCGACTGCGGACGACGATGTTGTTGAACACAGTCCGCCAGACGACGTTAAGGGTAGAGCCAAGCCGGCTAGCGAGGAACTCGCGGAGCATCCGTTCGCTAAGCTACAACTCTCTACTTCTGAATTGTTTGCTAAACCTAAGCTGTCGACAGCTGTTAAACTTAGACCGTTGTTGGTTGATGTTGTGGTATTTTGGAATAATGTCGTCGCTCCTGATACTAGAAGTGCTGGCAATGTAGCATCCTGTAGCAGTGACGGCGGTGAGTCAGACGTCGATTCTGATTCGCATGGACTTGTATTGACTTCGCTTGATAACCTGTAAACAAAAGTATTAAATAAAATCGTAAAAAAGACGTATTGGTGAAGCTGTTACATCCCATAATATCCCAGTTTAAATTGATCGATATAAAAAACCCATTAAAAGCACCGCTGTTTACGAAAACGAAGCTTTTTGTAAACAATCACTTATCTTAAATGTCTTAATTTCGGAAGTCGACAATATAAATAAACAACTTTTAGTGCGATTGTAAAAAGTTATGGCATACCTATACAATATTAACGGAATATAAATGTATCTATTTAAAAAAAACTGATAGGTCTTGATTTGTAATAATATATGATACCAATTAAGATATGATTTCTTCCACTAAATCATAAACTATTTGTTTTAAATTATAAACCATAAAAAGTAATTACCAAAATCAAATAGCAGATGCCTCTTTACCAGACCCCTCATATCTCATATAATGTGTTTAGTGGATTTATCAAACAAAATGTTTACATGTGTTTCGATTAATTTAGCTTGTTATCAACGCCTGTGAACGCGCTCGCGCTATTTAATTAACATTTAACTCCCTTTTTGTCACACATGACAGCTGGAATATGACGTCATGAATGGGAAGGCACAATTAATAAAATTCCACGCCTATTTGCATGCGAATTAATGAAGCCTTATAAAAAATCCATAAATATTAAATTCCAATTACATATATCTATTATTTAAAAAAAAAATGGATTGTAAACTGAAACTATGCACTACTATACATAATTTTAATATAATCATAAAATATCAATAAATTGATAATTATAAAAATATCGCCACACCTTATTACGAATAATAATTTACGTAATCAAATTAATATAATAAATGTAAATATATACTAATAGCATGCTATAATACTTTTTTTTTATGTTAGCTGTTTTATTACTGCTAACATACTCATCTCTGATGTGAATACCTATTAAGCGTGATTAATAGATATTTGTCATTCATTTGACTATATTGTCGTTAAGACAGGATTGTCGAGAAGACATAGATATTATAAAAGTTGGTCTCTATTTTAAATATTTAGTTTCGAGAGGAAATGAGCTGTTTCGCGGCGACTCATTAAGTTCATAAATAATAAAATACGTATTTATAATATTCATCATCTGGCCAAGAATTCAAACACCGTGGTCTTTGTCTAGAAAAAAGAACCCCCTGTTTATATTTGTTCGCGCCTTTTTCAAGTGTCACTTTGCTTTTTGCCGCCACTTCAAGAGTTGCCTCCAAACAACACTATCGTATATCAAAAGAATGCTTCGGAGTGGAATCGCTGTTAATGTTGGCAGCATTGTCACTATCTTTTTAATTGAAAGCTTTTTTAATGTTTCGGCTCTTTTTCACTGACTCATTTTACTTGCAGTAGTCGTCGTAAAACTGTTTTAAAATTGTCTAACAAAAGACTTCAAAGGTTTTAATAGTTTCTCGTCTAGAGTAAAGAATGACAACAACAATCCATATGGTTTGACATACCTATTACTTGTCACATTTTTAGTTTAATGTTCTGCGCGGCAAATTGCTATGATCGTTTGGAATATGTACCGATGCATCATATTATAGACACAAGAAAGTATTCAGCATTTTTTATCACTTATAAATTAATATTACGAGTACCTAAATGTTTTTTGTCGGATTCATAAAAAGAAAACCCTCATTGGATTTTTTTTCTATAGAGTACTTATATTTTATACGTAACAATGACGGTACTCTTGATAATTCAGTTTCTTATACAAATAATAAATTGTGACTTATACTCCTATTTTATTGTATGAGTAAGTATTACATATTTCCACTAATCCTATACCAGCACACGAAAGGAAAACAATAAACTCCCTGCCCTCTGACAAGGGCACAATGGTCGGCACACTCCAAGCTTGAAGAAAAAATAATACTTATGTTGTTGTGCTCATTATACAGGGTTAAGGGTTCTGAATATTCAGTTGACATCATATATTAACTTCCTTATTAGTGACATTATTAATTACTTGTAATATTATGAGTCATTACACCTTAATTCAACATATTATATCCTATACCAAAGTATAGGAAATGGTATAATCAATAAATTCAAATGTAAATAATGTACATAATATGTTATAAAGTATTTGTTGAGTTATACTTTATTATTAATTTCTTAAAAATAACAATAATATTTTTTTCCAGCTTTAGTTTTAAAATAATTGTATGATTTAGTTTGTGAATCTCTAAAATTTTAGACCCTTTAGTAACTGCCATTTGGCGTCCACGTGTCAAGCGTTCGGGTGCTTTGAGTTTCTATTAATTGCTATTTTTTACAAGGCGTTAATAAAAATTACATATGTTTATATAAGTGTTATAGACATTGATATTGTGATGAATGATTTGTCTTTGTCAGGCACGTATGTATTATGTGACAATAAAAAAAAATTCAATATTCAAAGTATGTTATTTTGTAAAAACTAAAAATGATACAAAGTGTATCATTAATAATATTATAAGATTGTTAACATAGAAAATTCAAATATATTCATAGATCAAGTGAAAGAAACAAAAATAAACTACGTTAAACATCTCACATCACGTCATCTGATATCTTAAATCCTGTCTGTCATAATGTAAAAAAATCATAACATGTAACGGAACGGAATTGCGTAAAAAATGATTTATTATTATACACAAAACTTATTGCTATTTTAAATACATCCCTATGCATTCCTTAAAAACTTGAGGAACGTCGTGTTAACCACTAATTAACACAACAAATGTGTCATGTGAATCGGAATGCTGCTCGTTAAATACTAAAAACGATTTTTGTTTTTTATCTTTGATTTTTATATAGAAGAAATTAAGGAAAGATAAAAGTATAACGTCTACAGAATTTTAATTACTAATAAGTAATAAATATAATAATAAGTAAATGCTATCAAACATACCCGCTAAGTCTTAAATTATCTTTAGGCAAGATACGCAGAAAATCCAATCTTTAAAATCGAATCCCAAAATCGACACATTGTAACACAAAACCCATTGTGCATTCGAATCACTTCCTTTGATCGAGGCGTGATAATTTGTGTAGCTCTAAAGGGAGTGTCCCATTTGGTATTCACTAAGTAGCTCTTTTCACGGCAATTGTGTATCAACAATATAAGGATTACACGAGATTAAGGACCCTTTTTATTGTATAGCTCTGTATGACAATCTATTGGAGTGCAAGGCTTCAAATTAAATAAGGTGGAAGTAAAGTACTATTCATTTAGATACGAAAATAGTATATTTTTTTTATAAATGTTGCATACATACTTCAGTATTTAATAATTAAGAGGATTGTGTTAATTACTATATAGGCAAGAAATATTTATAGTTATATGTTTAAAACTTATTTGAACGTATTATGTAAAAATATTTTTTGTACTATTATGATAGGTACCTTATAAGTATATTTTTTCTGTAATATTATATTTGCCCAAAACACATTTAAGTTGAACGTATCTATAAAATTGGGCGCGAAACGATGTACTTCAAATGACAATCACTATTACCAACATTACAAACATGCAAAAAATCATATTATTTATCATCAGCTTGAATATTGAATAATTTGACTTAAGAATACTGTTGTAACTTGTAACTATAGAAAACAACACTATAAATTCATATTTTTATTATTTTACATAATATGCCATCGTCAACTATCTTCAATATTGATAAAATAATTTTATGGCCGGTAAAAGAAGTCATAAAATTTTAATTAGTCAGTAGTCATACATAATATACCTATATCTAATATTAAAATATAAGTATACTTTGTTAATTTCTTTTTTATATCCTTAAGATATTTAATGAGGAGGAAATTCTATTATTAATGTCTTTAATAAGTCGTGACCATGATTGCTGTAAACGTAAAGCATTCGAAACGTCGTCGGGAAAAAAATTAAAATAAATCCGCGAAAAATACTAAACAAAATGTTTTATTTAAAATGTCAAATGTTCACGTTAATCTAAGAAAGTATTATATCTTTAAATAAGTTAATAGTTGAATAACTAAAGTTATAGGAATAAAAATGAAACTTGTAAATGGCTATACAACTTACCGTACATCAGTGCCCGAGTCGGGTCTGGATCGTTTTGCCTGTAACAATGCAAATGATGTTTATTTCATTTTTATCATTTTTATTTTATGTACAATTACTCCAAAAATAATTTTAGTGATGATGGACTATTCAATATACGTAATATAAGTAATATTTGCATATTCTATATCATTGTATTTAATGAATATTTTTTATAAAATTAATTAAATAAGCAAACTAAGACCCAATAATTATATTAAATTGAAGATGGGCGCAAAAACCAGGCGCAAGGAATTTTTGCACAATTTTTGCGATTTTTTAAAATTAAATGATTATTATTATTGAACTGGAAAGTTTTATTTTTCTTTAACAATTATTAAAAAGTAAAATTAATGGTCCGAACAATTTTAAGATATCGTGCCGAGGTATTATTTGAATTTGTATGTCTGGTTTTTTAACAAGGGACGATTTTTCCGACTAATTAACAAATGACATTTATATTTTCTACTTATTTATATTTTACCGATAGCTTATATTCGTCAAATATTTATTTATTATACCCTAGTTCTATTGCTGAAAGTCGTATGAAAATCCGTACAGTAGGTTCTGAGATCAGCGCAACCAACTCAGAGCGGGAGACTTCTATAACATGTAGCGACTAGCGATGTATGTATTTATGTGGATAATGAGTCCAATAAAAAATATTTACATACTTTCCTTCTTAGTTTCAATACTTATGTCTTATATAGTAACTAATTACTAATTTCATATTTACGTATTTCACACGAATGGCCCTATGGTATTAAATATTAATGTACGTTCATAATATACTACGCATGTATTGAACAAGTTGAAATTTATATCAACTGTGGAATATCCTTATAAAATTACAGGATATAGAGAGTTTTGTAAATTAATATCAATTTTAAATTAATTTCTTAGTTGAATTACAAAGTAACAAATACCTGTTTACACGTATTTTGTATACATTGTAAATTAAGTTTAAGTACTGAGATAATTTGAACTTATTAAAAATATAGGTATGCCTCATAGAACGCTAAAGTGCTAATCGATGTATCCCGCTGATAGGTTCGGTTTCTGTCCTAGGTTTTGAAGACTACTAATCGTCAATTCTATCATAATGGTATTTTTATGCACCATAGGAATAAAAGCATATTTACGTTATCTTTATAATAACGATTATAATAAAAATGATTGATGAAAATAACGTAAGCGAAAAATGAAATTATTTTACTGAAAAGCCTACAAAATTTCACAATTTGGCAATTTACTATAATGGAACTCTTATGAGAAATAAAAAAAATGATAAACATAAAATCTGAAAGTAAAAAAAACGCACTGTTATGCATTGAAATCTTTCAATGTAGAGCGACTAGAATAGGTGCGTTTTTACAAGTTGGTGCTCTTCTAAGAAACTTACATTGTATCAGTGTTTTGATGCGTCTTACTTGAAAGTATGTATTACATATGTATGTATGTAGTGTAAGTGTGACATAAAAAAATCTATGCGTCTATTTTTTCTAAAAATCGTAAAAACACCAGAAAGTATAAAAGTAACTTATTACTGTACAAGCGACTCATCCTCGCTTCGCTCGTGTCCCTAGGTACGTTTTATCGTTTAGTATGGAATAGATAGTCGATCTCTTGCTCTGTAAAAAACAAAAACAAATATATCCCACGGGAACCGCACATTTTTCCGGGATAAAAAGTAACCTTTGCACTTGTCCAGACTATAATCTATCTCTGTGCTAAATTTCATCTAGATCTGTTCAGCCGTTCTGGCATGATTGAGTAAGAAACATCCATCCAAACTTTCGCAATTTATAATATTAATAACGAGATTAAGCATTATATTTATAACATATGCATCGAATATAATATAAAAAATATGTATAATCTTTTAATCAAATCAAAGGTACCATTAGAATATTGATAAAACATAATTCATAATATTATTGATTCAAATTTTCTACATCCATACAAAATTAATGCCCAACAAGTTAACACGGTCACGGTTTAAAAACCCAACTTTTCTACATCAGATTCCAGATAAAATTCGAGCTATAAATAATAAAACTTCTAAATGTCTCCTCAGATCAAGATTAGGGTAACAACATTAATAAAATCAAGCCGAATTTATTTAACAGCCGAGAGGGCGCCACCATGTCTCTTTTGATATACGCATATAAATTGAATGTTTGATTAAAAGAAATTGCACTCTAACACAACATTTTATGGTGCATTTTCATTTGTGGCTTGTTATCAATTACGTTTACATTTTCGTGGATGGTTCGAATATTTTCACGTTCCGTCATTTTATGTGCGCCTGGTACTTGTGGTATACATTGTTAACATTTTAGTTTAATTTTTTTTTATAATTTTTGTTCTCAATTGCTTGCCGTTAGTAAAATGTAAGTGACATTTGCTGCCTTATGTATATTATAATATGGTTGATTATTTTTATATTGTGATTAATTTAGTACGATACGTTTCTATTGAATTTTTTTTTTCTTTAATGGCTAACGCAACTCTGCGTTAACAGACGCAATACGTTCTGCCAGTGTGTATAAATTGTTATAGATAAAAAATACTAAATTAGGAATATATAAAAAAAAATGAAAAATGCCTGTAAAATATGTCTATCTAGTTAAACAGACATTATTTAATATTTCCTTATTGTTCTTATATTATGTTAATTTAACAATTATTAATAATCAAAAATAATAGTTATTTAACAAATCTAAAGCTTTGATTATTTTGATACATGCTATATTATAGAAGACGCGATATCAGATAAAATGGATAATAATTTAGTCGATACTCGATAGCTACCTACTATTAATTAATTGATTATCGATACTTGAATTTGTTCTGTGACGCATTTATATATTCTTGTTATGACGTCAACAATATTGCGTACTCAATTGATTGTCAATAAATCGTCAATGTTATATATTTTAAATAAATAACTTCAATTATGCATTATTAATTTCCTTGTGTTTGATGTCATAGAAGATTTATTATGTTAATAAATAGTAATTTCTATTTTTTCTTTGACGATAGGTACATCTGTATAAATATTATAAATGTGAAAGTTTGTGAGTATGGAAGTTTGTTACTCTTTCACGTCAGAACGGCTGAACGAATCTGGATGAAATTTGGCACAGAGATAGATTATAGTCTGGAATAACAGAAAGGCTACTTTTTATCCCGGAAAAATATACGGATCCCGAGGGATAGATTTGTTCTTGGTTCTCTAATTTATTAATATATAATATACACGGATAAGGACCTAATGATGTTCTCTTGACCGATTTCGGCCACAGCGGCCAATCTTACTGAGACTATGTAACTGTACACGAGTTATTAAATTGCACAAGTGGACGAGGAAGCGTATACAGTATGAGTGACAGGAATATGTTCTGTTAGTCTCATATTCTGGCGGACGACAATTTGACACGACCAGTGAAGGATAAGGTGTAGGATCGACGGCTCTACGTACCCTCCAAGGCACGAGGATGCCGTCGACAACTTCCCAACTCCCAGAAAGATTCAATAACTGACCCGACCCAGGACTCAAACCTAGGACCTCTGCTAGCTAGCTAGCCACTTCACGATCGATACACTAAAAGGTATTTCCTTCCCGCAGCGTCGCCTGCGCGAAAATTTTTATGTTTATAATACATATACAAATAAGCTGTTGCAGTTTGACTATAGATCTAGATTTTAAAAGTGTTATACATAAATAACTGAGCCGTTGAAATAATTAATTAAATTATTTAATAAACGTTATTTAAAATTACTAAGGATAATATTGAAATTGTATGTATCATTTAGTATTAATTAATTGTAAGCGATTCTATTTTTTTGATCTATTCACCACACCTCTAATTATACTAAACTACTAGAACTAAAACTAGTGATGTAATCAATTTTTTTTTAATAAAAAATATATTTATTTACAATAGAAAAGAAAACCTTTAGCTCTCTTACTGCACTAGCAAGCTCTACCAAACAATACTACTAGGAAAGTAGAAACCTTAGTAACAATGTACCATTATGGACTAGGAATACATGACACAGCAGGAAGACGCTTTCGACATTTATGATTAGAGATTTGAATCTTGATAATATTTAAGTTTAATGAAAAAAGTATTTTATCTCTACATTTCGTATAAAATATTTTTCGAAAGAATTTTTGACAATTACGGGATCAGTTAACTTTTATCCTTCTTCTTAATAGTTGAATGCAAAACGGGAAACTGCTTGTAATAAAACAAGGTATTTTCCTCATTCACCTATACATCATCATCACCTATACATGTAGTTTCTCGAGTCATAGATTAAATATTTTTGAAGTAAAACTTCTTTAGGCGTGACTTCTTTAGGGGTAAGAAATTAATACATTGGAAAAAATAGTGTCATAGAAGTGTGTCGCGGAAGTGAGAGTCAAATTTATTACTAATAATTGAAAAAAAAGATTCTTGTATAACAATTATTATATTTATATTTTGATTTTAATGTAATTGCGGTATCTGCCACAGCGCCAAAGAAGTTTTACTTCAACAGTGCGCAAAGGTTACACGCACTGATTTTTCTTAAACTAAATATAAAGCTTATATCAGTTGTCAGTTGTGTAAAAATATTTTATTTAACTCTTATTCGTTAATCTGAAAAATACAATTACGAGCAACAAATATTCAAATTATTTATTTTTAAACAGCAAAAAAAACCTTTATTCTGTTCGTTTTTACTATGCATATTAAACTACTTCTTTTCAAGGGACATTAGAAAAATATTCAAGATAGGTATTTTAGTAATAGAAGGACAAACAGCCCGTAAGCACCCCTTGTGTGAACGTAAATCACGGGCGCATAACGCGAGGTGTGAGGCCGGCCGATCGCGCGATAGCCTCTAATTTATACGTTTTACGCGGCGACAACGCGCGACCCGCTCCGTCATCTGTTACACAGGCTGTTGTTTTTGGATGCTGTGTTTTATGATTCATCTTTTAAGAGTACACGTAACAATGTCAGTTTACATGATTTTCGCATATTTTTGTGTTTACATACATATATAAGTTCTAATATACAAATGTTTAAAGAATTTGTGTTACCTATATAAATTTAAAAGATTTTATATATGTAAATAAGTAAGCAATGATTGAAAGACTTTTTTTGGATATATTTAAATAAAATGGATTTATATTTCCCAGTAAAGAGCGTTCGTGTATTAAAAGCGATATTTTGTAAATTTCTATATTGATTCTGTTAAAAATGAATATTATTTTTTTTTATTTATATTTATTGCAATTGTTTTTTTTTTCTGAAAAAATATTGCAATTTATAAAAAGTTTCAATACATAATAAATAATTCTTTTTAAAAGTAATTTGTAACACTCTCCGGAAAACCCCAATGTATCAGCCATAAAAATAAAATGCGAGATTGATATTTACAAGATACTTTGTATAAAGGGACACTTACATAAACCATGTCCCCTTACGTGCCATGTGAAATGAAATATTAAATTCAATTAATCTCGGAGCAGCCTGTAATCTAAACAAGTTAAACAAAACTGTTATTTATTTATACGTAATTCGTTTATTGTTTTATCTCATTTTATTTACGATTTGGGATTCATCTCGTCCCGGCGCGCTCCCGGCACCACGAATAAATTTTCAAATTTATCGTCAACCATATTTATCGTTGATAATACGAAAGATGGTCGGTGTTATATTAATTCGATATATTTTTTTGTAAATCGTGTGAAATGTCAATTTTAATAGTGATTTATTTTAGTGGCACGCTTCTAGTACCTTAGTTTTTTATTGCTGGCCACCTTTGTACGTTTAGGTTTTATTATGTAAGTGGCGTTAGGGGTTTCTTAAAGCGCTTATAAATTAATTTTAAAGGGTTTTTATTTATTTTTTGTTTCAAGATGTCATGGCTTATATTTTTTTAATTTATCTGTCTGCATTATTTATAAATAAATATTTAACTCTACATTTCAGCCATCCATATTTATTATACAAACTTTTTTTATTTAAATAAATATGACTGACATGCGTCATTTTAGCACAAAATTATGTTGAAAAGTACCAGGACGGCATAAAGTGCGAAGTGGTTTACTCGTTTTCAACTTATCGCTCTCGCTCTACACGTTTCTATTCGGTTTTCAACCTCGATCGCATTGAATTTTTCCTTTAAACAAAAATATACCTTGTATATTGAACAATGAGCTTTATTTCTCAATGCAGGTAATTTCCACATACGGCAGTTTGGAATTAGGTCGAGCAAGTTACAATTTAAGGAGTACTATCAAGAGAGACATCTCGCTCGATAAATCGCCTCGTGTAAGCAATCAACTTGTACAAATTTGTTTTTATTGGTGTTATCTCTGGGTGGCTTAGTGTATCGATGCCTTGTTATCGTTTTTTTAAATCGTACATTGTTTCACCGGTCATTGGAAATCGTTATTTGGACATATATTGGGACGAACTATGTAAATAGCACCTGAGAATTTTTAATTCTATCGAAATAATTTTCATGCTAACAGCAAATAATTTTTATAATAATTAGAAGTATTATTTTAAATATGTTTATTAGATATATTTTTATCACCCTGGCTTATAATTGGGTCGTCCACATATAGAAACGCATTCCATAACTAAGTGTCGTCTGTCTGAAAACTAACCCTACGCGGTTATGATAGCCAGGTATCGGGTGGCTAACGACGCACTGTCCCGTAGGTACGAATGACACCACATCGATGTATTACGACTTTTTAATGGCCTCTTAAGATTAACGTACGTGTATGAATGGGGTAACGTGAGATCTGACGCCGTTCAACTTGGAAAACATAAACAGTTTGTACGAGCTTATGTCCGTTGTGTTTGGAATGAATTCGGTGTTACATTCAACCCTCACCCAAATATCTCATTAACTTTTATGATTTCAGTTGCAGAGATATGTTTATTTTTTTTAATTAATTTGAATTTCATGCAAAGGAAATGAGACATGCAAATAAAGTCGTGCAGCGTAAAGCGGAAGTGCTGGTGCGGTAAAATTAAAAAAGTATAGGTCGGATGGTGCATTAAAAACTATTTCTTTTTCTGACCTTAGGCTCGTGATCCAAATTGCAGCGCGGTGAAGCGCCGCCGAGATACCCACAAGGCATCAGGGTCACCATGATGCTTCAACTGATCATTTCACTCACTATTTCGTTGTCATTTTTACAGTTCTTGCGCAAGAAAATTTCTTGGTCATATTTGTTTACTTTTTAAAATTACACGTATTGCCTTTGATGTTTTTTATTCTGTTATCCATCACTTTCACCTATGACAAATTTTTTTATAATTATTTTCTTTTGCTTAAATCAATTTAAATTATGTTACTAGTATATTTATTACTAATAGCTAAACTTATATAGAATTTTCATGAGAATTTAAATAATATTATTTTATGTGAAATAAAGCAGCGCGGTTATATTTCGGTGATTTTTACGCTACAAATTTTACGCTGAAAGAATCGATCATTATACTACGCTGGTGGCTAGTTGAAAGGCTGTTAGTAATCGCTCGACATCAAAGAAAAAATAAAAACAAAGAAAAAATATATAGGAAAAAATTACACGCTCGGACCACCCACAAGGTTTTCAAATTCGAATGTCGAATGTCGATGGAACGTGTTCATCAAGTTGTCAAATCGGATTTGACGTAATCGGGAATGTTTTTTATTGCATTTTTAAGGTCTAGCAGCTTCTGTTAAAGGAAATTATTAATTATACAGCTTGAGAGAGCTAACCGCAAAATTTTAATTATTATTTTAGGTGTAAGTCTTTCTTACAATTTTATTTCATATAAACGGAATGCGTTTAAGGTTTATTTTATTGATTTACTGACCTTTCGATTTGGTTAAAGATAAGTATTTGAAATTAATTTGATAAATTAAATATCTAAAGATAACGAGAAACAGTACCATAAAAGCTTCTGGTATTCCTTTAAAAATTCCCACATATCTACACACGTCTGTTTAAATTAATTTCTCATTAAATGGTAAAAGTGGAAAGTCTAGAGATACAAGATGACGTTTATGTTAGATCAGGCTACTTTGTTATAAAATAGTATGGTTTACAGGTGAGGCCCCTGCTGGCAGGGGGTTACGGTAGCGTTCCTCACTGCGTGATGTAAAGGATGACCATGACGGTGTGGCAAACAAAAACAATGGTATGACATGACAGTTATTAAATTTATTTAAATTTTTGACATCACTATTTCATTTTTTTTCGAACAAAATTAAATACAGATCGTTACTTTATGAAATTCTATAAATTCGATACAATTTAAACTAATCAATTAAAACATACATTACAACGTTATAAGTCAACTTTACTAAAATTAATTAAAACCATATATAAAAACCAAATATTATTACATTCCAAGAAATATCCGTTGAATTTTTAAATATACGTCACTCTATAGCCGCCATATTAGAAGACCTGACCTCTCACACCGGGGGGTAACGCTGTCGTGTCTAAAACAAGAGAGTTTAATGCGTTACCTACTCAAACCGCTTTGGAAGCAATTAATTAAAATTAATTATAGAATCTCTATTTCAAACTAGATTCTACTTGCGGTTTCACACGTTTCCCATATCGTCGCCTTGTAGAAGAGACGGTTTAATCTTGAATTTATTTGAATGATTGAAATTTGGCTATTGGAAAATGCCTATGTTATTAAGTCGAAGTACTTACCGTACAATTCAATAATTCTATTATTTCATTAGTTATTTGTGTAAAATTGGTAAACCTACAGTAAAGATAAGAATAATGCTTATGCTCTCTACTACATCCCAATATAATCCTGTAAAATTAATTTCTCAAAAATAAATTACGCGGGAAACTTAAATACACTGTTATTTAAATGTATAATGTTTTCTAAATTTTTTAATAATCACTTTTATGTCTTTAAATTAAGTAACTTATTTAATGTAAAGGTTAAATATGCCTTAAAAGTAAAATATTTGTGTTTTATTACTAAACTTATTTTTTTTTAATAACGTAATATTTTAAAATACGGACCTAAACCCTTTTTTAAGAAACGCAATTTTTTTACAACCTTTTTCCAGCTTATACCATAAAAAGATGCAAATTTCTTCGATCCATCAGAGCAATTAAGTCAAAAAGTTTTATCCTTGTCAGTTTTAATACCTTGGCTAGTGTCTAGTGTACCTTATAAAATCCTACACTGACTAATAAACCGTTAAATAACTAAAAGCTCACGCCCTGTCGGTTATGATACTTAGTCTTCACTTCTAGGTAATATATAATGAAACCTAACTGGCATTCCTCGAGAGTATGACGTTATGATTATTGACCATATAAAATTATTTTATGTGTATTTCTTTAGCAATAAACATAAGAAATAGATTTTTATTAATTTTATTTTACAAAAAGACGCTAATTGCCATTCGTATAAATCCTGCATCGATTAAGTAGGTATACGAGCTATCTACATCTTTGAACTTTTTGTTTATTTAATTATTTGAATTTTAAACATATATTACTTACTGTATTTAGAATATTATCTTAATGTTTTCGGGTGTTAGGAATGAGCTCTATTAATTTAAAAATAAATCAAGTACTAGATGGTCTAGTGCGAGTCTGACTTCACTTCGTCAGTTTTAGAATAATTTGATAAAGTTACTTCAGTGCTTTTCAGGACATATTTTCTAATTAATTAAAATAATTAATTAAAGAAATTTAAACTTCACTTGCATATATATGATGAATTCTGGTGTTTAATAGTGAAAAACCCGTGATTTTTTTTAAATTAAAAAAACCTTAAAATCAGTCCACTATTTGCAAAGGTTTCTGATAATATATTTTTATAAATAAATTATTTACATAACAAAAACCTTATAATTATTTCTTTTAAAGGAGGTAAAAATTCATTCTTTTAAAAAACATTTAAATAAAGAGAAATATTTAATTAAACTTTATATAATATTATTAGAACTCGAAATAAGAAATTAATAAGTAAATTCGTACTGTTCACGGCCTCGGAACCTAATGCTAATAAACTTAATTAACATTTGTTTAACACCAACAAATTATATTTACAAATTACAACCTTTGCGATTTAAACATTTCTTTTTATAAATATTTTCAAGTTCAAAACTCGTTCGATTTAAATTTAAAATAAAAAGCAGATGGCCAGTACGTCACTGCGGCTGCGGGAATCGATAATGTGATAGTATTTACGATCGAATTAAAATCGATTGCTTGTGATCGTGGAGGCTCGCTTGCATCGAGTCGATGTTGAAGACAAACTATTGGTTAAAGTAAATATATTGAGACCGAAGGTCATAAGTAATTGTTCAATTGCTTCCTTTGTATTAGTTTCTATTGTTGTTCATAACTTAGGAGTTACGCTTTATGGTAATGTGCTGAGAAGCTCGAAGCTTTGAATGTTTTTTTAACATAATTATAAAAATATTTTTAATCAATCAATCAATTTAATCAATGCCCAAAGAATCGGCATTGCCATTCAACGTAGGAATGTGGCTAGCATTCTTGCCACTATTCCACGCGTGCATGACTTGTACTGTAATAACTAATAACTAAGTGTACATTTGTTTAATGTTTTGTACATATAATCAAGTATATTTGTAATTTTCTTTATTGTACACGATTTATTATTATCAACCAATTATTCTGAGATCTTTAAATTTATATTCATCTATAAATAGATTGATAATGATCACTTAATTGCGATGCGATCTTTATATGCCAGCTAAATCTGATATAATATATAGAAATATTTCTATACTATGTCTCATAAAATTATAAATTAGTCATAAATATAAATACCTAAAATATTAATTAGTAGTTTATAGTATCGATAACATAAGTTGCAATTAAATAAAAAATAATATTTGTATTTCCAGATAAACTGCATTGTAATTTTGTGACTAAAGTGTTAACGTAGAGCTTATTCTACATAAAAATTATTATTTGTTAATTCAGAACGAAAAATATAAAATTTTAAATGAACGTTAATTACACTATATATTTTAAATGGGACGTGTACAAAAATCAATATAAGTAAATATTATTATAATAAAGCTGAATTGAACAAAAAAATATTATTTAGATGAATTTCACGTGTGTATATATAGTATATATGTATGTATTAAGAGTTTTAATTTATTCAATATTAGCATAAAATTTACACTGGACGAGGCACGGCGACGACAAAACGGTACAAAGATTGCAAGATAGCATCGACGTTACGCATAAATTAATTGATTTTAATCCGATGTCTCTCCAAATTACTCGTAATCGGATTTTGTTAATGTGCAGGCCAAAGAGGTTTTATACTTTTAAAGTTAATAAGAAATTATTTATGCGTAATAATTTATTTTCAACAAGAGTTAACTAAAAGGGTTTAATTATCGTCATTTCTATAATTGAAACCTTGTTTCTGTATTTATTCAGTTTTGTCATAAAATACAAGAATACCAATTTTATATCTTTATCCTTTAAATGTTAAAAATATAAAAAAATGTTTTTAAGGCGTTAAAATACTTGTATTATTACGCATTAACACAATTTGAGTTATTGATTACGTAATGTAGGTTAAGTTTGTTTGTAAAATTTCCGAACATAAGCATTTTATATTGTTATGCTTTGCCTTTATTTTTTACTTCCGATGACATTTTGACCTTGAAGAGGGCATTGAAATGATAAATAATTATTTATATTAGAAAATCTGCGTAAGACAGATTGTTTTAACCGAAATGGAACCGTAATCTATTCAATTTATTTTTGCTTTGAATGGAATGAATAGATTAATTATCAATATCTTGATATTACCTACTTAATTATTGACATATTCCCTAAGGGATAGCCCTGGCCACTGAACTTTGAATACAGTGCGATGACGAATTATGTGTATCCTACTCTTATTTTGTCTGTATTTTTTTGGGGAAATGTAACGATATTTTAGATAATTGTGAATTGATTTAGATAATTCTTTTTTTATGGATAGGATATGCCTTTACATATGTATTTAAAAAAATCTAACTCTAAAGATGGAATAATTACTTTTAAATGATTTTAAAATCCACACTGAATGACCTTTTTTGTAAAAAAGATCTGCTTAGAATGTTTTGTGTTTATTTTGTATT